GAACTCATCCTGAGCCCCGGAATACAAAATACAGTCAAGTCCAGCTACTTTTGGCGTCTGCGCTTCCTCGCGCCCTTAGAGCTCTCCTCTCCTTCCCCACCAGCATTGGGCCCGACAGCGAAGCCAGCCGCAGCCATGGCTTTCGCGACGGCTTGCTTTCGTACTTTCTCCGGCACCTGACCCCAGTATACCTCCTCTTGCCTTCCATCTAGTAGTTCAACGACCAAAGGCTTGAGTTGCTCATGCTCAGAAGCCGACACGCCTTGATCATCCAACGCATCCTTCTGGACCGTGGGATGCGATGCGAAGTGCTCAACAAGCCTATGGGCGTGTGGTGAGGACGCGACGCGCAAATGGCACTACATGATGGTTAGCTCAGCACCCCCTGCAGCATAGCAGCATATGCCACTAAGACGTACCGAGTCAAGCCCCTTCGTGAAGTCTACATAGTCTAATTCCGCGCCGGACGCAGCAAATAGTGAACGCAGGGCCGTCTTGTTCGTGGCAGGGACGACGTTCCTCACACGTACAACGCATCCAGGCGGATATGGGGAAGTCGCCTTCAACGAAGGCGCAGATGTAGACGCTTCTGCTGCGGGCTCGGGCTCTGGCGCTGGTGGTGACGAACTAACGCGTTTCTTTCTCTTGGGCTGTGTTGTACGGTGTTCAGCGCCCGTCTGCGCAGCCGCTTCCTCAGCTTCTGTGCGCGCAATCTCATCCAGCAAGCGCGTTCGGTAGGCGAGGTATTCATCTTGCAGCTTATCCCAGTCGGCCTTGGCAAGTGCTCGCATTCCCGCACGACGGGCTTCCTCCACGAGATCCTCGCTGGCTTCGCGTCCTCGTTCTACAATTCTCGGCTCATCGCTGGTCCAGGGCCATTCGGTCAGTATTTTGTCAAGGTCGGCTGTGTTCGTGAGGGTCAAGAGCGCGAAGCCCTTGCATTTTGGAACGGCACCTGGTGGATCTTGATGGTGCGCCGGGAAGGTGATGGTCTGCAGCGGGTTGGGTGTATTCGGAAAGAGGGCCTTGAAAAGGCGCAAGATGCCAAGCTGTGAACGCGCCGGGTGCGGTAATCTTTCCTGTACGACATTGTCAGCGTCAGTGATAGAATGTAGGGTGAATCTACGAACGTCCATGCGGGACTCCGATAGACTGAGCGGTACTCCGAGAACATATATGCAATGAGTCATTTTCGATAGCGACAGAATATTGATGCAGGAAGAGCGCAATATTACTCAGATCTGCAGCCTTGAACATCTATTCTAGCAGATGTACCAAAAGAGCAGAACACTTACGACGTACAGGGTCTTCGCTTGCCACGAGTTTCTTGAATACGTAGAGAAGGAAGAAACGACTTCCTTCCAATCGTGCCGCCTGATCTCGTACCCTCCAGGAGGACCGCCTTTTGGCCCTGTGGCGAGGATCATCCGGGTATCGTAGCCGTCGGGTGAGTATTGGCGCAGTGATTTTACCACGGCGGCTTCACTGAGCGAGGGGTGCTGTAAAGCGGGATATGAAGATATCACGTTGGACAGGGCAACATCTGTAGCATTCTCGTTGAGTGCTTACACAGTCGAACATAGTGTACGGTCACGAACATCCATCACGGTTCGGATCGCGCAGTCCAGGGGTTGTCCACAGCGCATAGTCCGAGAGAGCCAAAGAAACCAGTGAGCTGATATCCTCGCTAGAGACGCTCGGGACGCTCCGAGAGCTGGCCGAGGAGGGTGCACCAAGCGCGGGCTGCGGGCTTTGCACCGCCGCTCCGCGGGAGGTCGTCACCGCGGTTGAGGGCGACGGCACGCTGCCTCGCGGCTTCGATCTGCCGACGGAGCGCGGTACGAACGCGAAAGACATGTCCCAGACAGTGCACTGTCCAGTACAATAGAGACTTTAGAAGGCTCAAACAGGCTCAGGCCTATACTTCCTTTCCAGACTTGGTGGTCTTCTCGAAGGCGTGACTTGTCTCCGTCGCGCGCTGGCGCGCAGGGCGCGAATTGATCTCGCCACACGCGGTGATGCCTCCGAGAACAGCTGTCGGGTAAATGAACACCGCATTGTTTCGATATTAGCGCCGGCTATGCAATGGAGTTCGCGTAACGGGTCTGACCGCCGCTCGTCAGTTACGCAGCTACTTTAACCCCTTACCACCACGACCCTTTCTCTTCTCCAACGAGGACCCCTTCTTTTCGCCGCTTGGCACTCTTCACTTTCGTCTGGGTCCTTTGCTTTCTTTTGTCTTTTGTCTGAACTGCCCTTCATGACTGAGTTTGTGTCGGCTTTGTTCAAGTTTGTGCCGGAGAACGAGGATGAGCTGCCCCTTGAGATCGGCGAGCGCGTAGAGGTCTTGGAGAAGGACCAGTTTCACAACGATGGCTGGTGGACGGTGAGCAATACTTCCTTCGTCTATTATCTGTACAAATGCGCCGGTGGTCGGGAGGACTTGGTCCTCCCTGACGATTCGGCCGCCCTAAACCACTGTCGCTGCGTGCTGTGACGTCCTGATCCTGACTGTGCGCTTGCACCCTGATCCTCGAGGCTGATCTATTGCACAGGGCCGGAACGCGTCTGGCCGAGTTGGAATATTCCCCGCCAACTATGCAGAGTCTGTAGCCACACCTCCGTCACCCGACGAGCTGACTTCGCCCGACTCCGCTACCCTCCAACGCCAATTCGACACTCTTTACGACTCAATTGAGATGCACTTCACGCAGAGGCAGTCTCTGGCACGGAAACCTACGTACGCCAGCTACGTATCTTCGGACACCGAGGATGAAGACGAAGAACAGCGCGCGAGCAAGGGTCTTCGCCTCAAGATCGCTTTGGACGCTAGGAAAGCCCGTGCAGAGGCTCGTCGCCACCAGAAGGAGTTCGGCATCAACTCGTCTCTTCCACCCATCGACGACGACGATTCTGAGACTGAGACCGATAAGCTGGAGAGCGCCCAGAGGCATCGCTTATTCGACTCCGACGACGAAGGCGATGCGGATCCATTCGAGCGCATTCTCTTCCGGAAACCCACGCGGGGCAGGTCGCTCAGACGGGCGGCTACGCGCCGCAGGCCAAGCCTTCCGGAGACAGAGCCTGTGCCAGCCCTGCCTACCATCCCTTCCCAGGTGGCCCTCGTCTCTTTTGCCGACGGCACTCGGACCTTCTCCCCTGAGCCCATCAAGCCGACGCAGACGCATACAAGTGGTCCAACTCCTACAGCATCTTCGGATGGGGTAACGCCATCGAGCCGTGCCACTCTACTCGGCCGGCCAAGCGAAACGCCTGCCCCTGCAAACGACTGCGCCGCTCCCGTGGCCTCATCGGCGGCTCGTCCCGTGCCGAGCAAGACCGAGTCCATCGCTATATCCGAGTACTCCATCCTACGAGCGCCGTCGAGCAAGAGTCGTCCTGCGCGACCTAATGGGGAGCCGCAAAGCTGGTCTGTCTCGGACGTCGTGATCTTCCTCAAGTCTCGTGGTTTCTCCGACGACGTTTGCTCTTGTTTCCAAGGTAAAGCTATTGTCTAGCGTCTCGTTGTGTGCGTTGTTGATGATGCGGCTAGAACAAGATATTGCTGGGGATGTCCTCGCGGAGCTCAGTGTGGATAATCTCGACACCGAGATTGGAATATCGGCGCTGGGTACGCGGAAACGTATAGTAGCCGCTATTGGCGACCTCGGACTTCCGCGCCGCCAGCCGACACCCGAGCCGGCAGTGATGAAGGACGAGCTGAAGCCGTCGACAACTATCGACAGCATACCTTTTGGGTTGCCTTCTCCGGTCACGTCGTCTGAAAGCGAGCCATTGGATCTCAAAGCACCTCCGGTGCGACCGCTCTCCCCGTATGATGCAACAGGCTCGCTACCTACTCCCGAGCCCTCGCCTCGCAAGGGCTCAATACCGCTTGTTAACACGGTAGACTCGACATCGCCGCTGTCCCAGCGAGGGCCCTCGACTCCGTCCAGTCCACCGCCTGCGATCGCTGTCTCCTCGCTCCCGATGCCGCCAGAGACGTATCCCGATCCGCCGGTCATGATTACTGCTCCTCGCTCGCCGGAGTTGCTTCCGGCGTCCCTGTCTGTACGCCACAAGTCCTCTGCTGGTGCGCTGCTTACTGGGCCACGACCACGCCCGGTGTCAGCCTCATCTGCACTGTCCGCGATGCCGATGAGCTCCTCTCATGCCACGCCTAACGGTCGCCCTTCCGTATCACCGCCACCAACGTCCTCAAAGCACTCTCCCCCGCCGCCGTCATCGGGGACCGCATTTCTACCTCCAGGCGCCGCACGTCCGCGCATCCCGGGCGCGCCTCTTCCATATGAAGGACTTCCTCAATCACTTGTCCCTGGCGGCGCTCACGGTCGGGCGGCCGCTTCAGCTCAACATGCTCGTCACGCTTCAAACGTGGGTCCATCGACGACAGCGTTACCCGCTCCAGTCTTCCACCAGCCCACCAGCACAGCTGTAGTCGGCGCGAGCGCCAAACCCAGGATTGCACAAGCACATCATCAGAGTGCCAGCGTATCGCACATAACAGCTGCCATGATTTCGGGCCCGTTCGAGGTCGCTCGCGCGACGGCTAGCGCTGCGTCAGGGAACAAACATCTACCAGATCTCCTCGTTCCCGGCCGTACTCGAGTTGCCGCGCCGCGCGGTCCCCGAGGCTGGCGCATCAGATCGTAAGGAACGAAACGAATTCAAGTCTACCCTATACCCCATGTAGCATCTGCACGGACACTGGACCACGCATACTTTACGCTCGCATTCGTTACTGGACATCTTGAACACTGTCAGATCCACATACTACTCCTTTCACTATCTTATTTCTTCCTCACCTTTTTTGAGCGATGCACTATGATATAAGAATTCCTCTAGCTAAGTTCACCGGCGGCTAGTCCTACTAGCATGTGAGCAACAGAGCTTGGTTCCGGTGAAGATCAAACGTCCCTCGGACGTGTGCTTCGCGCAATGCTTGTCTTTCTGTTTGAGCAGATCCCTTGTTCTCCGGAGAATCATGTAGCATTCATTGATATCAACTACAGCATAGAAATATGACAGCCAAAAGACGGTAGAAATGGTAGGGGAGGAGGTATCGCGTGGTGAAGGTATGAGTCGGCATATGGGATAACGACCCTGGCAGCACAAAACAGAAAGCCCAAGTATAGACAAACAAGCAACATGGAGTTCATGACCGTGATATACGCGTCAAAGCAGTCAGCATGATGATACGGATAGCAGACAAAGACAATATATGTCAACTTATTGTCGAGCAGCCGGCGCTTCATTGGTTCAGCGGCGATACTCCTCAAAGAGGATCTGGCGAACGCGTTCCAAAGAATGGCCCATATGATTCTGACCAGTGCCATCGTAATTGGCGCCCCAGAACGAGTCTATGGGATCACTGAACTCGAGAGGGCGCTGTCCGGTCTCAAGCAGCTTGTTGCGAAGAATCTCGTTATATCTGAACTTCGCGAGCAGAGCTTCGTCCATCTAGTGCGTGGACAATGGTCAGTAATACCGATGTGCCGTCAAATAGTCTGGACACACCATGCTCAAGGCGACCTGATCCCAGTCAGTACGGCGTGCAGCAGCATTGCGCTCACTGAACTGGATCATATCTGTCCGATCTGGGATACGACGAATCTCGCGGGCTATATCTTCCCGATGAGGCATGAACTTGAGAGCCTCGAATAGGTGGAGAGACGTCGGATACTGTTCGTTCTTGTAGATGAACGGCCCTCCGTCACTAGCGGCAGGTATTCCCGGATACTGTGCACGCGTAAGTCAGCGCGTACTATAAGCGTCACGCCAGAGAAGAATCACCATATACTCCGATATCTGGAGGGGTTCCCCGATAAGAATCGGCTCGCGAGTACCTGGCAGCCCAGGCCCACCGCCAGCGAAGGGCTGAGGGAAGTAAGGACTGCCTGGCATAGGCACTGTCTGGCCAGGTATAACTGGGCCGCCCATTCCGCCAGGCATGCTCTGCCCATTCATGTTCGGTGTTGGCATTGACATGGGCGGTATAACCGCGGAAGGCATGACACCCGGAGTGACTGGGTTCGGGGTCGGCATCATTCCCGGAGCCCCCGCGCCGTACGGGTAGGGAGTTGTAGAAGGAGGAGGCATCGGCATAGGTGGCGGAGGTGGTGGACCCGCGCTCGAGTTCGCTGACGGAACGAAGCCGCCGACACCAAGGCCAGCAGGAGGCATGGGCGAAGATGGCTGTAGGTTGGGCGCCGGTGTGGGCCCACGCATGGGCTGCTGAGCCTCATATGGTTCAGGCATGCGCACGGAGGGCCCGCGACTGAACATGTTGGATATCCCCGTCGCGACCGTGTCGAAACCCATGTTGCGCGTGCGCCTCAGACGTCGGCGCTCTTCTAGCTCTTCACGGCGTTCCTCCCGTTCTTCTTCGCGCTCTTCTCTTTCTTCCTCCCTGTCGAGTTCTTCTTCTTCCCGCTCCTCCCGTTCTCGTTCCCGCTCCTCCCTTTCGCGCTCACGATCTCTTTCCCGGCGTCTTCTATCTCTCTCGATCTCGTCTAGGTCGTCGCGTCCGCGGTAATGATCGGTGGTATGTCTTCGCCTATGCCTCGGTTCGTAGTCTCGCGGTTCGTAGTCACGGTAGTCGCGTCGAAAGTCGCGATGCCGTGAACCACCGGACGGTAGAAGTGAGAGAACTCGGCGATGCGGCGTCTCTGCCAAGACGTTGCGCGGAGGCATTGGAAGAGGATTGGCCGTATATGCTCCCGAGGAGTCGTACGAAGGGCGGCGTGGTTGTCTTCGATACCGCCGGTCACGCTCATACTCGGAGTCCTCGTAAGAGTCATAACTGCGCCGACGATAACGGCCAGAGTCTGGTATCACTGGCGCCGCTGGCGCTGGTATAGGCATCTGTCCAGCCGTGATCCCTCCGTTGGCAGACGGGCCTATAGGGTTGGGAATGGGATCTGTGCACGCGTCAGCGATGCTGCTCCAGCCTGTCAAAAGCCAGTACCAGAGCCAGTTATCCAACACAGCGACGCCGATCAATAGGTCGGAGAACGTCAAGCCAAAAGGAGAATCCGGGCGCGCGATTCGAATCGATAGCGAACGTGCTCAGGCGCCAGTGCAAGGAGGCAGGGCAAATGTGGTTGAGAATACGGATAATGTACACGTACAGGAGCTTCCAGGTGGGTACATCCATACGAAGGGTGTGGTATAGTAGTATTGTTTCATCTCTTCCTCGCGCCTCTTCCTGCTTTTACCGAAGGGGTTCCAGCCTTTCTTCTTCATTGCATAGGGAGGCACAGCAGGATATGCAGGAATGTAGCCCGGGGGCAGATTTGATAACATGTTCTGCTCATATCGGGAGCTCGAGTTGCCCATTTTGCCTGTCAAAGAAGATGAAGCACGTCGAATGGAAGGATACTCGGATGAGCTCACCGATACGGCCGAGGGCACAAACGTGCTAGCACGTAAATGAAAGCGTTTCCAGGTCGTTCAGAAAGAGTATCAGAAGCAAAGCAGTCGTACAGAAAGACAACACGATAGCACAGACGGAGATGACAGCGAGAGGGAGACGAGGCACCGACGTGGGGACGCTTGAGCAGCTGCGGCCTCGGGCTTGGGAAGTTGAACATGAGGTCGGAATACGGATCCGTTGATCCGCCAACTCTGTTGCCGCAAAGCGTTTCGCCTCTCACCACCACTGCGCTAGCAAGCGCGTTATACGTCTTTGTTACCTTTTTGGACAAACGACTGCCCAACGCTGATTCGTCACCGGTGTCGATGTCAAATGCGACCAAACCTTCCGCGAGCTGTACGACTGAGCGCCAGCTGCCAGCAGGAATTCACGAGCGACGCGCGTGCTGGATAGGCCGAGCGCTTACCGCCTCTTATAGTCGTTATCACTTGCTATCACTTCCCATGCAGAATTTCTCTGCGCCTTCTGCTCCTCAGTACTCAGTCTTGCAGGAGGTAGGCCGCGTGTATTGCATGATCGGTCGTGGCCATGTCCGCCACTCGCACGTCTGCAGGCTGTCCGGCCACCCCGTGTCCGCCCCGTGTTGAGATTCGATGAAGTGCGATCTTGATGGATAATGGGACATTTCCCCCGTGCTACGTCCGTGCTACGTATAAAGCTCTGCGACCACAATTAGGTGTGCTAACCACGTTCCCCGCCACTGACGATCCCTACGCGTCTTGCCCTTGTTTGCTGGAGGTCCTCATGGAAAACGCGCCACCTCCGCGTATAGGTTCTGCTGCCACCACTACTACGGCTGAATACGTCGACGCGCAGGATATCTGGGTCTCTCCGCCCTCAACCCTACACTCTTCTTCTCGACACTCATCTCGTGTCGTTATTCCTCCGGTCTTTCCTCCCCGTCGTGGATATCACCGAGTGGTCTCGTCAATGCGCAAAGTTTTCTCCCGCATTATAAGACGAACGCATAACAGCGCTCGGCATGGGGGGCCTCCGACAGTGACCTCCGCTGGGGATGCAGACGACGGCTCGCCTTTCCAGATCATCCACTTTCGTCCCTCAAGACAGCCGTTATCGCGGTCCACGAGCACCCAGCGTCCGCATCTCAGTCAGGAGCTCGAGAGTCATACTGGCGGGGAGACTTCATCACATGCTGAACCTTCATCGATCTCTACTCCCCGTGGTCGCTCCCGCACGCGCAGACATGTTGCGAGCGTCTTGGGCGTGGACTCATCGCCATCTACGTCCGTACGCCAGCCCGCGCCCGTGCCCTCGGCTAGTGCCCTGTCAGCGGATCTGACCGCCCTTCAATTCCCACCGACGCGGTTGAGCTCTCAATTTGCGACGCGAGCGACGACCCCGCACGCGTATAGCTCGGAGCAGTTCCTTGTTTTCGAATTATTTGGCGATCTCGCATTCATCGATGTGAATAACACATACCAGGCGAGTACCAACCTTCTCTAGGGCCGACATGTATGTTGAATCTTACACTACAGGAAACGATACGTCTTGCACGCAGAGCCTTTCCTTCGCTTCAAGACGTTCACGACGAGCGCGTGCTCTTCTACCTCCCTTGCGGTCCGGGACCGGGTGATCGCGCTCGCGTTCCCGAAGATGCATGGGTCGGCCTCATGCGACGCATACCGCCCAGTGGGCGAGTATTCATCGAAATCGCTCCTCCACCGCCCAATACACGCAACTCTCAGCCTGATCAAGCGCTGTTGAGCACGGGTGATGACACATAGCTACTCACCGCGCGGCTCGCAGAGACCTGGGCGATACAACGCCCGATTCTGCTTCTCACCATATGCGTCCGTCCGGACGCGCCCTTGGCGTCATCTGTCTGCCCCAGCCCTATCCCTCAAGCGATATTACGCCGTTCGCTTGAGTCGCGCTTGTTGAAGGAAGCCACGATCGACCATTGGTGGGACTTCCCCACGACAACAGGCGCAAAAAAGGCCTTACAAAATTACAGGCCACCGTGCGCGCGAACTTATGCATTCACAACCAAACGAAACACATGATCGTGAGTTTCATCCTGAGCTTGCGCTACGGTTCAATCAGCTGACATGACATAGGTCTGGGCCTACCAGCAGCCTATGCTTATGCGGTATCTATGCCTATGCGACTCCTATGACATGAACATGCACTGTAGTACCGGCGCAAGCGCTGCAAACCCCAACGCTAATCGCGCACATGATTCTATGCCCTTTCACACAATAATCTCCGTCGCCTTGTTATCTGTAACATGTGTCCGCCTCCTGCAATTATATGACTTCATCCTCGTAATGGCGCCCAATCGATTGCTATTAGGTTCTTCTGTGTGATGAGAACTGTGAATGGATGGCCTGCGAAGGTTCACGCGGTTGTATGAAGACCGAGCTCCTACACGTAGGCACCGACGTGCTCCTCAGGCCCTAGAAGCCAAAGCTCCTGGTCGAAGCCACATTTGGGGCGCGAAGAGGTGGTTTGATTCCCTCCACGAACGCGAGTAAGTTCACGAACGCCAGGCTCCAGAGCGTCCTGGATGTACGATCTTGTTCACCCTCCGCACTACGCCGCCAGATGGAGCTGACTGCCTGGCTAGTGAATACAACTTCTTCTCGGTCCCCGGCAGCCTCCGGTCAGTGAGAAGTCTGTTCGAGCGCCCCTGATAAGACGTGTACAAGACCGATACGTCTCTTTTAGATCTTGGCAAGAGCGACCATCGGAATATGGCTGTGCGAGACAGATCGCAGCGTACACAAACGAACGAATGAACATCGTAGTACAGAATGCTCCTATGATACTGTGCTGCATGCCTAACAAGATGATAATGACAGGGTATAATGATCCAATAAGTACACTATGTGACACCTTTACCGCCGCAATCCCGCAAAGGAGCGTGGGTCGTGTGAGGCCATCTCATGCGGCCAGCACTCCGAGGGGTGTAAAGATGGGTGAGGGAGGATGCGGCTGGTGCTTGTGCCGAAGGCGGCGGGAAGACGATAACAGGCGGTTCGCCAACGCGCGGTGTGATCAGACGGCGAAGTTCTGTGCCCGCACCGGCCCGTCGAAGTCGTGATATGACACCTTCGTGTCCGGCTCGTCGCGCATGACGGCAATCTCCTGGCTAACGCCGATGTCGAGTGTACGAACACCCTGGGATTGAGAGTGAGCAGGAGTGATAGGAGGGTCACACGTTTCGAACCCATACCTCAGGCTTCCTCTCGTCATGAGCAGAGTTGGTGCCAAACCGCAAGCGCGATGTCATCATGACTGCTTGGCCGTTCCTCGAATGCGACGACTCGAACTCAGTCTCCCGTCCAGCTGACGGGCGGCGAACGTTCAAGCTATGAAGAACGTCAGAACATCTGAAGACATCGTGCGGATCAAGCAACCGTACGTAGCCAAGCAGGAGTTTGAGTACACTGGAAAGATCTCAGGGTCAGCCACCAATTTATCATCGCGAGCTCTCGTGCTTACTCTTGCAAACAATGAAGTAGAACGCTGAGACAGTCGATCAGTCAAGGGAGAATCGTGGCCATGCGGTGACGTACAAATGAAGATGAAGTTGTTCGGCATGGTCTGGTACTATTGAGAGTAGCTGCGTGAACAAAAGCTCGACAAGAGCATGCTTGCAGACGCACCAAGACGAGGACCGCTAAACTGACGGCCGATGTCAATGCGCCTGTCCGAACGGAGAACCCGATGAGTTTGGTGATTAGGGCCTCTGATCGCCTATAGCCGGTACGCATGCCGTTCAGGTAATAGGAGAGGACGAGGGCCGTCACGATATCTGTAGCCGCACCCAATGCCAGGGAAGTGCTTCCAAGTCCCTGTCAAGCCGTAAGATATAACAGACAGTGCATGTGATCAACGTTTTCCGGACCTTCAGCGTCACCAATTCCGTCAGAGCGATTTGAGAGCTGTACGAGGCCAGTCAGGGATACATTCACAGACAAGACTGGACAAGGGGCACGTGCCTCTTCACGGCGTAAGCTGTGGGCAGTCCTCGTTAGCATCATATTGCTCGCACGACTCGAGCATGAACGTACATGTAGCGGTGCCGAGTTGTGCCAAGGCCATGACGCACTGCAGAAATGAGCATACACACTACGTAGACAAAGTTACACTCACAATAAGCCCTGTTGCAAGAACTCCACCCTTGCCAACTTCGAAACATGAGCCACGTCCCTATATTGTATAACCGAGGTACTCACGTCGGTACACGCGGAATGCGAAGTAGATCTTGACCATGGTCCCAATAAGGCCCTGTGAAGGGGTCGTCAACGACCGACGTTCATAACGCACACTATGAGTAGTACATACTCCCAGGAGAACCAAGGCCTGGCATATGTCTCAGCAACGCGAACCCAATGGGGAGTACGCCACTCACGCTCAAACTCCAGACAGTCCGCTCAACGAAAAGCGCAGAGCCGGAGTTGTATCCCCTACAGTACGCAATTGAGTACACTGACAGCCGAGCCATCAGAATGCATGCCCACTTGATCGTATACTGCCAGCAGTAATGTCCGACGAAAGCCTGATGGATAGTCTCGAGGACCCTGCAGATTGATCTCAGGCCTCTGTTCAAATGCTCATCATGCCGTGCTTACCAGATGCTGCCCACCTGTGAGAGTCCTCAGTCAGTGGAGGACGATGTGGTACACAAGATGCACATACAAGTGCTTTGTGGTACACGTTATCGGTTGGGTACCTGTGGAAGTACTCCCAAGCTTGCAGCACGAACATTCCGTACAGCACGGCCGAAACCTGTTTCCCCAAACATGAGTATATGAACGGTAGAGGGATGCAATGTACGCACACCCCATCCAATGAAGATGGCACCGATAGTATTCTCGGTAGTAGGCAGGCCAACCTCCTCCAAAACCCGACCAACAGAGCTCGACGCCATCTTAGACTACTGACTGCGCCGACGACGATGAGAAAGAGACGCCGCGCAAGTTGAGCAGCAAAACAAGAGGATGAACCTTAGTGCGGGGGGAGCTCGCATCGGAAACATATGGCGTTCTTACTTATACAATTCACGCATGCGGGTCGGTGGAGTCCTTCGGATGCTGTAGGCAGGGAGGGAGGTTCGGGACCGCCCTAGCATGTCGGGCCTCCATCACTGCCGAAGATCTCGGCAGAGAGTTACGTTGCGGCCTATCCTAGGGCTCCATCCTTTGACTAGAAGACAACAACGTTAGGGCATCATCATATCATGAGCTAGCAAAACATGGCCTACGAGTATACTCCGCCAGTGCAACGACTCCGATGTGAAGGACATCTGGATCGTAAACGCCCAGATAGGTAGCATACGCATCATCGACCCGCCGCGATTGCACACATGCGGCTCAAAGATCAAGTGTCCGCATCAAGGTATACAAAGAGCTGTCGCGTTGGCGCAGGGATCGCGAGCCTGTTTCTTCCTTGTGACAGTTCTGATGACTGCGCCGTAAGTGTGCCTGTTCGAGTACTTCTCCATATTTGAGATCCACGCCCCGACAGCGAGACAAGGGCTGTCCTGAAAAGACTGAGTTATGCAGCATTAATGACCCGGGTGGACCAAGTGCTCAGTGGCCCTCTGTTAATAGTATTCAGGGAGCCAAGCACTCTTGGGCGCTTATATAATCCATTGTCCGATGACGATGCGGCAAGTGCTCGTCGCCGGAGTTCGCCCTCCCCGACGCAGATAAAAAGGCAAAAAACTTTTGCACCGAGAACAGCGGATGCCGCAGCTTCGACTGATGGCCACATGCACCTGCCACACGCGGGTTGCGGTCTGTTGCGGTACGGCCTGAGCCTGCCTGAGCTGCGTAACACCGTACAAGCAACCTTCAGGTCCACTCGAATGCGGTTTCAGCCAACCGAGGGTTCGTGCGCTCGATACCCGCCACTGCATGCGCGTCGTCAGAAGGACGGTCCCCATATGCTCCTCCTCCATGGGAACGGTAACGGCCACCCGCCAGACCCCAGGTCTGCACTCCGAGGGAGATCGTTCGAGATCCAGAAATGTAGATTGAGTTGCCACTGTGTCTCCCAAACGCGACATTTTCACGGCATGTCTCGGGCGAATGTTGGAGCATAAATAGTTCGGTCGAGGCTAAGGTACATGGTCGTGAGGGTCAAGTTGCGCTGTCGTGCACGCTGTCGACCCACTGTCGGCCCTCGGGAACACGCGTCGCGCCCACAAGGTCCTCCCAGAGACAACACGGTTGCGCAGCGTCGGTTTGCGGCCATCACGTTCACACTCCCTCGAGGTCATTAAGGTAATTAACAGCTCCATCGGTCAGTGTATCGAACATCAGACTATCTACATCACGAGCTCGTTCCCGTATCATTATAAGGTGCAGTTAAAGAAAGACGATGAATGGTTATACAGGGAGTTCCAGAGGTGGTAGTGAATAGAACGGCCAGCGATGCAGTATACACAGGTAGTTGATAGCACTCAGAAGGCGACTGGACGCTCTAGCGTCTCCTTCAGGTCGGTATAGGATAACGTCGGCACCTTATCGTCCCGGACGACCGAAACTTCCTGGCGCACGCCAATCTGGAGGTTTGCCTAGGGCCAGAGTCAGGATACGTGTCAAGCAGCGATGTGGGTGCATACCTTGTTATCTTTCCCCTCAAGATCGTTGAGGGTGACCTGTCGCGAGCGAGCGCCTCCAGGCAGGACAGCCAGAGCGTGGCTCGAGCCATCAGTATTGGCCTGCGCGTCAGTGCCGCGACCTCCAATATGGCGCCTCGAGTTCAATCTACGGAACGATATGTCAGCGCGGGCCGGGATGCGCTTGTGTAGGACTTACGTTGCCAGGCATGAGTTAGAGTACACTGGCGAAGTCGCAAGTAACAACTCAGTAGACAAGATCATGATAGAAGAAACTCAGACTCACGTTTGCACACGAGGAAGTAGCTGCCATTGTGTGAATAGTCAGTATCCGCCGGCGCATACCATACGATAGAGACGTACATGGCGATGAAGATGAAGTTGGAGGGCATGACTTGGTACTGAGAACTCGTGTCAGTACTGCCACGACGGCATGCTTGGCGGTACTGCTGCTCACCAGGACAACAACGGACAGGCTAAATGCCGACGTGAGGGCGCCGGTGTTGACACTGGGCGTCACAGTCAGAATCGCAAGGCCGAGTCCTCCATACGCTGACAGTACCTGAACACAATGAGGCGGTTGATCACACCATCCGACCTCCTATAGCCCGTCCGCATCGTGTGCAGGTAGAAACAAAGCACGAGCGCGGTGACGATGTCCGTCGCTGCCCCAAGCGACAGAGATACCGTACCCAGAGTCTGGAAGTCACATAAGCAAGTACGACGGACTGCATGGTGGTATAGTGTCACCTTTAGCGTGATCAGCTCACTGATGAGAACCTTGGAGCTAGAACGAGATTAATGAAAGCGCGCTATCTCAGCAGGTAGGAGCACGTACGCCTTCACAGAAAAGGCTGCGGCAGAGATAAGTAGGCGAGTAGGCGAAAAGAGTATGGTCACGCACCCATAGCAGTCCCCAACTGTGAAATGGCCATGGAGCACTATATGGGGTTGAGTGAACGTTCTCAGGGACGCCTAGGACTCGACGCACGATGATACCAAACCAGAGATAGTTTCCTTTGCTGACTGAGGGTCATGTATTAGCCAAAGCGCTAAACTATGTTGCGGACACAAAGGCCACACACTCTTGTATACGCGGTATCCCAGGAAGAGTTTGACGATTGCACCCACAACCGCCTGAAGCCGATGTGTGAGCCGGCAGATAACAACCCGGTCTTCTGATCAACGCACCCCCAGTAGCACTACCGCCTACACAATCGGGTCAGTATAATCCCAACCGGTCTACACAGATGCGTACACTCAAACTCCTGAGGGGATTTCAGCAAGGAGTCTCCGCGAGAGAGAGCCAAGCTCGGCGCACCAAATTGTCTCCTTCAAGAAGATCGCCTCTAGTTTTCCAAAGTCCCTGCATCCAACGTCGTTTCAGCGCTCCTTGGTTTCGAGTACGTTAAAAATTTGAAACAAACGTCGTTGTGTATGTCCAGCAAGCATGTCCAATCAGCGCCTGGTGAGTGACCTCAAGCGCCCTGATCTTCGTTAGTACGTGGCCGCATGGGCAAATTTCGAGTGGCGCATGTGCTCACCAGATCAATGAAACCTGCAAAGCGGGGTATAGAGACCGAAGATGAGCAAATAAGTTCCGGTCTTGAACGAGGAATGGAGGACGCACGAGCGATTTGTTCCATGTGCTATCACTAGGGTAACGCATGAAGTACGTCCATGTCTGGAGACAGAACATGCCGAAGACCAGCGTCGAGATGCCCCATCCGACGAATAGTGCGCCGATTGTCTGCGAGAGTGGAGGTAGTTCCGCGGCGAGTGCAGCAGCGACTGCTGAAGCGGATGCAGCGGCAGCGGCAGATGCTGAGGCTGCTGCTGCGGCCGAGGCTGAGGCAGCGGCGACAGCGGAGGCGGAAGCTGCCGCTGCAGCAGTGGCTGTTGCTGCTGTGACGGTTGACGACATCGTGTTGTCTAGGCGAGGCCAGAGAGGTAAAAGAGCGTAGGCTGTAGCACGACGGGCTGTGGGGAAGAGCACGCGCGCAAAAGCTCTCCCGGGCGGGGAGTGTGGAGTTTAAGTATATCCTGTTAGCAAGGTCCTGGGCAGGGCAGAGCGGAAGGCTAATCAACAACGAGCTCCGCGCGGACCACAATTATCGATTGACACGCATCGGAAGCAGAGCGCAACTGCTAATACCGAACGTTCGAATATTCCTTTTTCGGAAGCTTTGGTAGGAGGATGCCCTGGAATCTGAGGCCTGAGACGGCGATTTTCGTTCATGTGCACCATTCGCACATGTTTGGCTTCTATAGAGCCACGGGTTGCCCGGTCATTTATTGGTACGGGATATAGCCCGGGTGTGTCGATACGCCACCGAAGAACCATTTCGTCTTCTGTAGTATCAAGTATCAAGGGTGGCGCGCGAACAGTCCAGGTTTCTCCGAACGTCTCCGTTGGGCGCGGACGCACGAGTGGTGATAGAAAAGTAACAGAACCTGTCTGCGCAGCGAGTACTAGTGCGATCATCTCGCGCAGGCGGTATCTTGCTTGATACATGTCTGTCTCGTTGAGAGCGCGCACCCTCACAATGCGTGGCCACTTGCATCCGGGGGTCATTGTGCCGATAGACGAAAGACGGGACGAGAGTCAGATGGTTCTTTACCAAGCTACTGAAACCGCCATACCCGTAAGCTCAGCGCCGAGCTAGTATGGCCTCGGTATTTGCAGCGACAGCATCAGATCTCGCGAGACGGGCGAGGCGACGAAGGTGGCGTGCGTAGCTGTCGAGGAGGTACATGAGGCACGCTGGCAACTATGGAAGCCGCCCATATACGAGCCATACAACACAACATGAGGAGGACGACAGATATCCCCGACCAGAAGTGCTTCAGCGACCGGGCGTATAGGTGCGGTACATATAGAAGCTGGCGGTACGCTCCAGAGTCGTCGAGTCAAGGAGCCTCGAGGCCGGGGCGCGCTATCGCACGGCATGTTACAGGCACGCGTTACTATCCCGACCGGGCCGCCACTGTTGCTCCCGCCCTTCCGCTTTCCGCTTCCATACTGACCCGCCTCGTTACCGAGAACACTGACGCATGCGCAGTATAATGTCACTCGGCATATGCGCAGTGTCGAGCCCTGCAAGAGCTGCGGGGGATATATTGATGGTAAGAAGACTATGGCTAGAGTTTTTGCGACGGGAAACATGAATACAGCTGGGAGTTCGATGGATTATTTATATGTAAGGGAGCATTGGCACTAGACATAGCAAGCGAGAACAAGGATGACTTAGTATACAATGAGGGTCAGCATCGCAACGATGCACAAGAGTAATGGGAGCGATCCTGAGTCCAATGATAACAAGAAAGAAAGGCGAATAATTGTCCTTTGTCAAGGAGGGGGATGCCAACGACCACAGCGTCGGCGGCACATCTACGCCTTGCCGAAGAGCGCCTTTAGCCAGCCAAAGACGCCCTTGCGTTTGCGTATGTCTTTATATGGCGAGGACGACTCCTTATCGCCGTTCGCCTTGGGCAGATCATATTGAGGTGGTGCATCCTCAACGGGCTGCTCGATTTCGACGGTAACGATCTCGTATTTGGGCAGATCCTTGAGCACAGACGACCAAGCGCCACCTGTGACCCGCACGAGTGCATCGCGGCCCGCAACATGGAGTGAGATGCGTGAGCGCTCGAGCGCCCCAAGCGCCGGGAATGCTGCTACAGCGTGGTCAAGGGCTTCCTGCAGGGAGTTGTCAGCATTCTGGCGCCCACGAAGTCATAGTTGGATTCATACTTCATATGTCTTCCCGGCCGGGACATACGCAAGCTTGCCCGCAAGCGAGTAGGTCAGAAGTTCTGCCGAAGTGGCAAGCTCCGATCCAATTATAGTCGGTGGCGGTATACCGTGTACACCGCCACAGACCGCGAATGGGTAAGGTTGATAGACCGTCGGTGGCGGAGGCGAGTAGCTGGGGTAGTTCGGGACCGGGATGATGACTGGTTGCTGAGGTTCCGGCATTGGCGGCGTCGGTGGCGACGGCGAAGGCACAAAGGGTTCCGGCGACAAAGCACGAGCCAAAAGTCGCCTAGGGGGCGAATATGACCTCGAGCGCGAGCGCGAGGGGGTATAAGAGCGGGCGCGACGAGGTGAGCGTCGGAGGTAGGAGAAGCGGCGCGGTGAGCGGCTACGGCTTTGGCTTTCATCTCTATCCGAGCTGCGCGAATAGCGACGTGGGGAAGGCGTCCTCGATCGTGAGCGCGACAGCGAACGCCCGCGAGTCTCGTGGATGCGGATGATAGGAGGCATATCAGTATAGATATCTTCCCGTGAGCTGTTGCGCGATGCGGGGCTAGGAGAACGGGAGGGGCACATAATTCACGGTCGGCTCGTACAAGGAGGGACAGGGAGACCAGTAAGCGAGACTGGGGAGGCACTGGCGCACGGGCGTCTATCTATCCGTAGCTTTATACGGCTTTGCACAGCTCACGAGGCGTCATCAGATGCCTCCTTCTGTCAAACGTTTCTGGGCCACTCTGCAGAGAACGCTGGAGCCGCAGATCTCACACCGCCCCGAGGCCTCGAGGCGATGCCTTTCTATGTACTTACTGTGTAAAGCAAGTCCTTGCCGCCATCGAAGCGGGCGCATAACGACTTCCTTGCAAAGGCCGCAAGGCCTTGTTCTCTTCAAAGGAGGGTTGCAGATGAAGACGGTGGCATTCTACGTGAGAAGGCTGTATGAAGGTGGAATGGAGGACAAGCTGGAAGCCTGTACAAGAAAGGACAAGGGCATATCGGGGAAGGGCTTTCGCCGGCAGGGCGCAGTGCGAAGATGATGACGACGACGGAGTGCCCTTTACAAAAAAGTACTCTATACTGGGCGTGGGCAGGCGTATCGCTGTTAGGGGCATGGACGGCTATCACACTACGCTGGGCACGGGGCAGACTGGAGGTGTAGACACGCGATGTACAATAGGGTGGGTACGAATGCATACAAGTGGCTTGGGAGTGCTGTGCGCACAGAAGGGGCGGACTCGGCGCGTTCACCATGGTAGCTGTTCGTCGACATCGCGCCGTCGTCCTTTGAGAGCGCGACCTCGCGAACGCGCTTTGGAGCTGAATAAAAGCAGCCGCGCCATCGCCGATATCGTCAACGTTCGCCTCTTCGGTGCGCTTATGTGCACGATGTTATAGGGCGGCAGGTCGCCCACCTGTTTCGATTGACAGTCAATCTCTGCGGAGAGCGGCTAGGCCAAGCCCACTCACCAGCTCCGACCATGCTTCCGGTGAAACTGCAACTTCGACTAGAGATTGTGCGTCCGTATCGGGGTTCAGGAAACGTATATGCAATCGTATGCGTTCCCGCCGTACATAGGACAGTGAAGGAAACGCCGCGAGCGCCGCTTCGAGCGCCTCCTGCGTCGGACATAATCATTAGCCCTAAATCAGACATTTCGACGGCACCGTCTACGCACCTCGTGTGATGAAGCCGCCGGAACGTACGCCAGCTTGCCCTCAAAGCTGTACGTGAGCAACTTCGCCCGCGATGGTGCATCGTCGGGCCATGCTACCTCACTAGCGCGGGATCTGGGGGTTCGTTCGAGACGGGGCCGCCTACGTCGTCCGCTCGCCGCTGCCTCGCGGGCGTCATATCGAGACTGCCTGCTACCAGATCCGGAGGGTGTGCGCGAGTATACCGGCGGCGGTGCACAGGTGCAATACTCCGCGCAGCCTTCTTCGTGCGTGTGGGTTGACATAACAGACATGGACATTGATTGCGTCTATCCAAGGCGTTCGCAGCGCAGATCAGGTCAAAAGCAGGCGTCGAGACGGAGGTGTCGGTGAGCGGCAGATCAGGGCGCTCGAACGACGGCCGAGAGGAATACCACGCCTACGCTTATGTAGGGAATTCGAACGTCGAGGGCAACGATTATGCGGCGTCCGCTGCATCAGGTACTCCGCTAATTTTGGGGGTTCGTTACAGAGTGGTTGCGCACCCGAATCGATATCGGCAGACGGACAATGGCTTCCGCTGGCTTGTTCGGCCAGAAGAGCATGTTCGGGAAACTAATAGGTCTACTTTAGACCTCCGATCGAAAGTATCGGATGGGTACCTAAGCCTTGTAACCCTGGGTCAGATACTTGTATCGCGGGTACTAGCAGTCGGTGTTCGTGAGCGGAGGAAAAAGTTGTTGCTGCCGGCTTCGCCACGCGGTTCTGATGGCCGCCGGGAACGTGTTTTGCACGCGGCGCTGTGGCTCGTAGGAGCTGAGTACGATAACACGGCGCACGGCCGCCTGTGGTTTAATACAACCACCTCCGGTACCACTATAAGTACTGTATAGCGCTTGCGATACGTCGTGACATGTCGTAGTATACATTGAGAATAAATATCGAGAGACCGATATAAAGGAATGTGTGGATCATAGTGTGATCGAATAAATATATGGAGTGTCAACCTCAGCCTGACGCATGGCCATGGGTGCCCATCGGACAAAGACAAACCCATTCCGTACAGCATCAAGTCGAGCGCCTGTACCTCTGGCTGAGCAGAATGGCGCTACAGGAGCCTACCGGCGCTTCTTGAAGAGTCCCTTCCAGCCCGAAGAACTCGAATGGTGCGCAGGTCCTTTCTTCCAGAACTTCCAGCCAGATCCCGATGAGCCATGACCGTGATGCGAAGGTCGTGAGTGGTGTGTGGCATGATGAGTGGGCGTATGGAAGAAGCCATGGTGCTGTGGATAGTGATGTCTTCCTCTATACCCGCTAATCGGCCGGATCGGCATACCCCGCCTCTTGAGCCCAAGACGCTGAGCAAGGGTGCGTTTGGGTTTAGGCTGGGGTAAATCCACCGGTAAGCTCTTGACGCTTCGACTTCTGCGCTCATTGTACATCGACGCCGGTGGGCCGGTACGGGGAAGGCTTCCCGGAACGAAGGAGGGCGCATCAACCCTGACGATTTCGCCGCTATCAATGCACTGTGCATACTCCGGACAGTGCTTGTCCTCCTGGTGCGTTTTCCTGTGCGCCGTCGACTGGTGTCGCACAGCATCGCTCGCTCGAGACGCATGGCGCGAGGAACGCGATCTCGTGACAGTGCTTCTGGCCGAAGTAGGCGCAGATAACGGTCGGTGAATCGAGGACGCCGAGGATGGAAGGGCGGAGGATTGAGATGTGCGCGAAGACTTTGACGAAGGAGGTAGGGTCCCTGGGAGAAGAGCGGTGGCGGAGCGGGAAGTGGCGGAGTATGAGGAAGGCCTACGGGGACTCTGCGCAGCGTACAGAGAGCTCTTCGACGACCGGCGTTGGATTACCGTCCCTCGCTTGGAATTGCGGCGGTCAGACTTGGATTGCACCGTCTCCATGTGCGAAAGATAGATGTCCGAGTGAACATGTCCGGACGTGTGGAGGTGCAGCGAAAGATGGGAGAGCTTGCGCTGTGAGAGACCTGCGCTACCAGGGAGTGATCGGGAACCATCCCGTACGATCCTAGTTGTCGGAGCGTAATCGGGCGTGAAGTGGGACATCCATCTGTATTCTGGCCCAGGATTGTAGGTCTCGATCGCGACTACGGGCATGACACGTCTGGGATAATAGTGATGGGAGTGAGATGTTGGACATCTACGGTCAAGCGGGCACTCTTATATCGGATTGCCCAGCGTACACTTAATTGTTCCGGGTACCTCGAAGCCCCGTTCCACCGGTCGGCTGTGAGACATCAGAGCATCTGTGGCACAGTTACTCTTTGACGCCCACGGAGTGATCGTCAGGCTGTACGCGATAGCATCGTCTACGAGCACGTATCCGGTGATGCAATATGCAGTCGTCGACTCATTGACACTTTCTGGGCCGGCGTCAATCTGGCGAGTCCGATTTCGTACAGCACCTTGAGTGTGCGGGGTTTGAGCGCATGCAGATCGGCAGCGGCAAGCGCCATTGACAGCCAGCCATCTATGGTACGGCGTAAGCATATGATGATGTAGAAGTGCAGTCGGATTCGAATGGGGCTCGTCCCCGTACTCGGACGCGGATATTGCGTATCGCCGGCTATCGTTCAGGTGAGACCGAACGCCAAACCGTATCGCTTGCATACACTGACATCTTTTTCCGTATCCTACAACACCCACCTACTGTCACCAGCAGTTGCGTACATGTCAAAAGCACGTTCTAGCAACCGAGATATGTACCTTGGTCAGAATGTTGGACAGACTTCTGAGCTACCGCACAGTGGCAGCGAGCGCTGTTGGTTTCTATGGACATCGCGGGTCACATCGGCCGTGTGGCTATTGTTTCGTCCCCATCCATCTTGGCACGTTGAACAATGCACTGATGACTTTATGGCGGAGTATAAGCCAATGATGATGCTCGGAAGGACATGTTTCGGCGCGTAAAGCAAAAGAGTTGCCTGTGAAGCTCTATTCCGAGGGAGAAGCTCGAGAAAGGCAACTACTTAAGATGGAGGTGAACTCATGGACTGGTTCCAAGCAAAGCTGTTCGTCGTCGGGGTTCAAGTGGTGCTGCGGTGGTCGAGTCGGCGGGTGTTTCCGGCGCGCGGCTCGGCGTGCACATGTGACTTCTTGCTGCACGGCGCAAATCCGTATGGCTAAGTACGCGGCCGACGATACGATGTACACTAAGGCGTACTAGGCCATTGAGATAGGTCGCTGCGTCAAAGCTGAGAAGAGTATTGCGGCCTGGTATTGTTTTGTATATGATATTGACAAGTATAACCCCGGATTCAATACGGCAGAAGTAATCTGACAGAGCTCGATGCATGTAGTTCCTAGTCCCAGTCCAATCCTCGTGCCCAGCACTTGAGTGATCATACCTCTTCTGGGATTGCATCTGGCGGAGCTTTGAAGGCTCTGGGAATGATCTTCCCTCGCGCATGTGGTGCGACCCAGTGCGAAGCAGGATGCCCATTCAACGCGCTGATGGTCACCGCCGAATGCGTTGACCATGCGCTATTGACGCTACTCTGTTTGTCGAGATCATCCTGCTCCGGAACAGGCTCTACCGGGATGTTCGCGATCCTGCTCGTCCAGCTGTGCGTGGCAACGAATCGTTCCGTGTTGCGTAAAAGCCCAGAGTCCGGATCAGGTCCGGGTAGGAAGGTCTTTGTTGGCGTCATCTCTGCTTGTTCCGGTACGACAGTGGCGGCTGTACAGGGATTGTCAGAACATAATGGCCTCGCAACGATGAGAAGACAAGCACTCACTTTCAGTTGGGCATCCCCAGCTAGACAACGAGAACGTGTCAAACCCGGAGAGAGATGCTGTTTCACGGAAAGCCGGTGTAGCTAGTAGAGCCGTCGAAGTGAAGGCATGGGCGCGTTCTGGTGCCACCGCGTGAGTGATAGGCTCGATATACACAACTTCTGGCACCTACACGACAGACGTTAGAACTTGGATGCGGCGAGGAAGTTGAAACACAGTGGGGACCGAGCTAGCCGAACATGTTGTATCAATCCATCTCGAGCAGGCGCTGTATGGCGGCGGAATGAAAGGGCAAAATATCATCGGCCCGACAAGGTCGTTCGTAACCATCGACGGGAGCTTCGCAAAGACCCACCTCAGGCAGTTGCAGAGTTCCCGGAATGCGCATGCCAGATGCAAGCCAGTAGTACAATAGCTCGATGATGGTTGGGTCCGTGCCGTCAAATCTTGACGTGGCGCAAACATACGCTCTCGTATAGCCTGCAGCAGCACTTAGCATGCAATGGGGCGTAGCTGGGGTCCTAATTGTACGTACCAGGACTGAAAGTACCGAATACCCAGTTGGTGTAGTTTGTAAGAACAAAGTGATATGATTTGCGCGCGATGCATGAGTCGTAGATCTAAATGCTGTCAACGATGACATTGATAGAGATGGTAGCAGTACCTCGTACCTGAGCCCAGAGTACGTACTTGCTGCGCTTTTTGGCGCTTGGTTCGTCTGGTAGGCTGGTGCATTCGTAGAAACTGTTGACGTCGGCCGGTGCGAGTATCCAGGGTGGTTGTGCGAAGACAAGCAACGACGTTTCATCTGCCTGACTTGCTTCCTGCAAAGCATCCTTCTCCTGAGTCCACCGAAATACACGTATGAGCTTTGCGTTGATACCACCCTCGTATAGCTGCTCAAAGAACCAGCTTTGAGTCTCAGAAACTGTGCTTCGCATGAGGTATCCTAGTGTGCGAAGAGGGCCGTCTTCAATCCACCGCGCAAACCTGAGAACAAGGTTGGCTCATACATGAATCACCACGGATAGAATACGCACGAGTTCATGTCGCGGGGAGGGCCTGGCCTGAGCGACGATACGTCAAAGCCGGCGGCAGGTAGAGAGGCAGACTCGCTCGCATCGGCGGCGTACGCGCAATCAAGGCCTGAGATTGACTTTGCTAAGACTGCGACGGGTATCAGTAAGGATGCAAGCAGATGTCACCAGCGGCTAACGCACATTCCCGGATGGTATCCGCTTCAACAGGTCCGGACGGTAGCTTCTCGATGACCTCCAACCGACGACGGCCGCCTTGTAGAACCTGCAACTTATTACGGTGCGAGTGCTCGCCATCCGCCGGCATACTTTGTGCCCTGGCTTTGCTGATGGCCATCAAGGGAAGCTGCGCACGCTGCATGTACGACTTGAAGTCATCATGCGGGGGTACACCGAAAGCGCCGGGTATAGACATGATGTAGAGGTGACTCGCTTGAGACGGGACTGGGGTAGTTGTGGGTGTTTGTTGGACGTCCGGGAGCTGCTGCTGTATATAGCCGAACAACGAACAAGTGTGCAACGAGTTCGGTGAGTTCCAACAGAGAACAAGGCGGAAGAGCCCAGTTAGGTACAAGGGTTAACAAAGAGTAGTCCAGGAAAGGTCATGGCTCATTGAGAAATAGGCAGCCTGGTGTACATGTATACGACGCTGTACTCTGTTGGATTGGCATGCCTCAGGAAGAGTGATGGCAGGTGGGAGGTACTTCAAGAGTTGCGCGAGTTCTGAGTGCCCTCTGGTCGGGCCGCGATTGCCGGTGGTTACGTTACGTGGGCGGCTGAGCCGCCGACCCCCATGTTGGCTTCGGCCGCCTTCCATACTTATATAGGCGTATAGATTGCGCGAACGTATACAAGCTCATGTGATAATCGTACAGATACACCATCCTTCCCGGTCATAGCGAATCATTATCGTAGCAAAACAAGAATCAAAGCTCCATCCTCAGACAGTCTCTCTTTGATGAATGCTCGCCTTCTCCTTTTCATCAAACGAGGATGCGCCGCGAGGCGAATCCGTGGCATCGCGTTGGAAGTCCTCCTCGGCCACAGCATCATCGCGACCTCCACCCTCCTCGAATGCCGCCTTGTGCTTCTCGAAGTGCGAACTGTGGGCCTCGGGTCCAAGTATGGTCACGACGAGGATGAATGCAGCAACGACACCAATGAGGATACCTTGCACCGTTGCGTAGTCGGGCACGTCCTTCGTCACGCCGTTCACCGTTACCGTTGTACGGAGGTTCTCGCCACCCTTCGCTTCGATTTGCGACGAAGCAGAAGAGACCATCTATGAATCAAGGATCAGCAGGATGCCAAGGATGATTCAACACACGCTACGCACGTTACCAAGCTGATACGCCACTCCCGGGAAAGTAGCGCGGAACGCGGGCGGCGAGATCTCAGCGAGCTGGATGGGGATGACACCCCAAGCACCCTGCACACCAAATTGGATGCAGAAAGCACCCGCAGCAAGACCGGAGAAAGAGCTGGGAATGATCCACAGGGGAATGAACGCGCCCGTCAAGAGGACGAAGATGATGATGGTCAAACGGCGACCAATGTACTGCGAGACGTAGCCGGCGATAGTACCGCCTAGAGAGGGAGGTCAGAACCATTGACAATCCTATAGCGCTCGTCCTACGCACCTGCAATAGCACCGCAGTTGCCAATGATGGTGGCGACGGTCGAGTCATGGGGACTGAAGCCTTTGCTCTGCTGCATATACGTAGGGTAAAGGTCCTGCGATCCGTGCGAAAAGAAGTTGAAGCCCGTCATCAATAGAACGGCGTAGATGATGAGTAGCCAATGTGTCTTGAGCATGATCCAGGTTTCGTGAAGGAAGATCTTCGTCTTGTTGGCTGTTGTGGCACCAGACGCACGCTGCGCTGCCTTGGCGCGCAAGAACACCTCCGACTCCGGCAGCATCGCGCGGATGGCTCCCGCAAAGAGCGATAGTCCAGCGGAGAGCCAGAAGAGAGACCTCCATCCGGGAGTGACCTCGGGCACCAGGTAAAGGTTGATGACGGCGGCGAAAAGGTATCCGACCGCGTATCCCTGCTGCAAGACGCCGGATGCGAGGCCACGGACTTCGACCGGAAGACTCTCAAGCGCAGTAGATGCAGCCAGGCCCCAGATTCCACCCATGCCGATGCCGAATAGGGATCGCACGGCGAGGAACTGTTGGAAGGTTTGGACGAAGCCCGTCCCGAGCTCGAGCACGGCGATGATGACGAGGTTCACGACGAGAGGCCACTTGCGTCCAAACCGGTCGGAGATGATACCGAAGATAACCTATGAAACAGAAGAGATGGTTAGAAATCAACTAGGCGTCAAGATTGTAGGTGCCAAGCGGATGGGAAGACGCTGCATATCACAGAAGACTGTGGACCGGGCTTGGCCTATGATACGTCCCCGCTCACGCTGAACCTTCCCCACACTGCCAAGAAGCGGGGTACATGATCGACTCGCGTAAGAGTTTGTGGACAGTGTTTACCACGGTCGTGCACTTCATTCTCGAGAGACAAAGATAGAACGAGGGGGACTTACGGCGCCGGCAGAGCGGAAGAGCAAGGTCAACGTAATTGCGGTTGTCTTTATCGATCTCATGTCAAAAATCATCCAGCGGAATAACGGAGGCGGAGATGACCCACGATGTCGGAGGCGTCAGCCTTGTTGAACTGTTTCTGGAGGTTGGTGACAGATAACGAAACGGAGAAAAAGTCGACAGCGTCCGTGGACCATGCTAGCCATCTAAAATAGGATGATTCAGAAGGCCACTGCGTTCGATGCTGTATGAGTACGCACCCGGACCAGAACAGTGCCCATTGCATCCATGTCACGCTCTTGAGAGCCTCAAGAAGCGGCCGCCCTTCCTGTCGCTGTTCGCGGCGCGGAATGAGGTTACGGATGAAGTAGGGTGCCATCTCGAACGGTGTCTGGGTTGAGGGACGTCGAGGGAGAAGGGCAAGCCACTGAGAGCGCCTCTGATGCAATCCTAGTCTTTATAGGTGGATCAAACTGAAGGGCGCGTACGGCAGGCGCTCACCCCGTTGCGAATTGTGCCTGGCTATGAGAGAGGTATCAACGTTCAACCGTACATCCGGGATCAGTTGACCTCCACTTCTACGTGACGAGCGGGTTCAATCAATTGTTGCAACTGCCTAGGCAGCTGCCCGACCTCTCAAAAAGCGACCATTCGTGCTTTGCGATAGGCGAGACCTGAGCGCTGAGCTCATAACTCGGCGGTCGATGAGAGGTGCCTTCAACGTCCACACGTTCAACGAGAATCCTCAAATAGGCTTGATAGGCCTTGATTTGGTGACCTTCGTTCTCCAATAGCTTGAGGCACTTGCAGGGTCGCCCAGCCCGCGACTCGTTTCTTCCCACCCCGTGATACCCAGGAGAGACAGGCTCGACGGGCTTCAGGACTTCAGGGCCTGCAAGATGTGGCATCGGAAAATGCGATGCGGGCGAACGGAGAAGTTAGATTTGTGGCGCTGCGGAGATGTGCGGGGAAGCGGGGCGGGATACTGCCAAGAAAAATGATCGTCCGAAGAGCATGGAGCCCCGCATCGGCGCATCGGGCTTCCGGGCCGAGATCCTTGCCGCCGCAGCTTGCCAACGGCGCGAGCTTGAAGCGCCTTAGCCGAAACTACGATAACCTGCTTCTATGCAACCCGCCAGTATCCATATGACTCAGGGTCTACCAGAGGCTTCTGGTGCATTGACGCTAAACGATGATGTTCTGCTACATCTGTTTAGGCTCTGTCATGACACAAACGCGCCACACGCGGTGTGCTGGGAGGCGACAAGCCGCCGCATGAAGTACGACTTAGGATGGGTGTATCTCACACATGTCTGTTCTTTATGGAGACAACTTCTTCTCGCTGCACCCTACCTGTGGAACGATCTGGTCTGCGTCTTACCCCCGGCGGCTGACGTGACTGTCGGCCGGGCACAAGAGTGTCCTCTAATCATCGACGATGAAGTGGGATTACCTTCGGATATGCCCCAGGAAGACGCGTATGCCTTCAGGGAGTGCAGCATCCAGGGTGTCATTTCATCTCCATATCTTTCACGCGCAAGATACCTCTCTCAGCGCATGGCTGGTGGCAACTGGGCAGACGTCTTCGCTAACACCAACTTTCCCCACCTGCGGGACCTCAATGTCGTCCAACTACCACCATACCCTCGCGATATCACCTGCATTGATGCACCTCACCTACAATCCGTCGGTCTCAATCACATCCCTGCAACTTTCACTGCGACGGATATCCGTGAACTCTCTGTCGTTGGTGGAGACGAACTGTTACTTGGGTCCGCCTGGCGACTTAAAGAAACTTTGGCCGCACTGCCCTGTCTGGAACAGTTGTCCTTGATACTCTTCCCAAGGCAATACATAGAGTGGTCAGGCTCAGATGAACCTCGCGCTTTTTTGAAGCAATTGCTGTTTATTCGATTCATTGGGACTCAAGAGGCGAACATGGCATCTCTATGGCATCACATTAATTGCCCTCGCAGCGCCGTGCTTCACGCTCACCTCATCGACTGGCGCGATGAAGGCTGGAGACCTTTTGTAAACACCTTCGTACCCCATTTGACGGGCAGGAGCGAGTGCCGTGTGCTTGAGATCATGTTGTCGCCGCTTGATGATGATGTGTACCAACTGGCACTATCCACCTTTTACGCCGTCACCGACGAGGAACCCATCTCCCACATTGCGCTCAAAATCAAGAAGGCCGATATCTTGGTAGCGAGACTCATGATCTCGGCCTTCACCTCGCACCTCGCACAGGCCTTTGACGCTCTGCGGGTACATCTTGAGCTCGACGATCAGTCTGAACACGCGTCCCTTTGGGAATCCTTCGGTGGGTTCTCATCCATCACACACGTCAAGTCCTTCCAGCTTGGTACCCTGAACAACCTCCTGGCCATCCCCGCGACTTCACATGGTCTCGCAACAGCCGTGCCTCGCTTCCCCTCGCTCGACACCATAACCGTAGCCTGCAATCTCCGCGGGGCGCATACCCTCGAGGCAGTTCAAGAGCGTTGCGAAACATTACTCGCAACGTTGCGTTCTCGACATGATTCGGGACACCCCATTCTGACGATATATCTCGTCGAAGGCCCGGCGTCTTGTACCGCAAAGTGTCCGGTGTCGTTGCGGGGTTCGATAAACCTCTTCAGCGGACTTGTCCACGCCATCGACAAGAGGATCCAATTGTATTCACGGTTCAATGCGGAGAGATAATCCATGGGACAGGGACGGTTGGGCGATGGGCCGGTGGGCCTCGGCGCCGCGGCCATGCTCAGTGGTATCGCTGGTCGTGCAGATTGCAGGTTTCCCTCAGCTCTAGAGTACAATGAGTGTAATATACACAATGAACAAGCTTCTTTCCGTCCAACAAGCATGTCTATAGCCTGAATGTAGCGATTGAGAGGTGAAAATGAAGGACGACGCTTCGAGAATCGGCGCGTGGTGATAGGTTGCGCAGTCTGAATTCACCAGCCAGTAGTGTACGGTACATAAGGTACCTTCCCGTGCGATGAGACAGTATGCTGAACATCAATCAGAAGTGGCCGGCGCAAAGTATACCTGAACGTACTATTGTCCTTGCTTCACTCTGCTCGCTGACGATGGACACTTCCTGGCGCACTCCGACCTCAAGCTGCGCACGAGCGCCCTGGGGCGATACATCAGTCATTGATCTGAAGCCTCGAGTGTAGCGCTTACTCTGATGCTCTGCTTCTTGGACAGACTTGGCAGGACCAAACCTTGTTCAGGAGATCTGTGTTGCGCTTCGTTGTCTGTTCCACGTCCTCGTACGAATCGCCTCGAGTTCAATCTACAGGAAGATGAGAAGATGCGAAAACTGCCCAAGGAATAGCATACGTTGCTAGACAAGAAACTGCGTAGACTGCGAGCCCCACGAGAGACATCAGAACTGCCTCAGCTAAGAAGTGAGTGGATGGACCTACGTTTGACCAATACGAAGTAGATGCTCATGAAGACGAAGTTCCGGGGTAAGCTGTTGTACTGATATCATATCAGCTGCCAGTCCGTTGTCTCCGCCAAGAGATGGGTGGCTCACTAGGATGAGAACTGCGAAGCTGAAAAGACTAATGGGATATGGGTTTCAGCCTGTATCTAGGTGAGATGGGGATATTGCGATGCATGACGTACGAGGTGAGGAGCCCGGTATTGACTGTGTGTACGATGAGCTGTCTGATGAGGGTGTCCGATCTGTATCCCTATCAGTACATGATTGCATACCAAGCCCGTGATTGAGCGCACCGCAGGTATCCCGTCTTCATGTGATGCAAGAAGTAAGAAAGAGACGCGGCAGTGAAGATATCGGTTACTGCGCCAAGAGCCAAGGAGGCCAGCCCTATGCTCTGTAGATCACTCAGTGTCTATCGGGCTAAGAACGTGGTCCCGAGCAGACCTTGATTGTCTCTGAGTTGATGAGAAGAACATCGAAGCTGGCAAACGTTATTGAACATGTATTGGCGCAATATACAGATGAGGCTATTACCTGCGAATGGTGAAGGCTGCAGATAACATCAGTTTGTATGTCGATGCAAGTCCAACCAAGTGCTCACCAAAAGCCGTAGCTATGTAGCCAGACAGTGATCAGCCTCCACGTATGACCAGAGTAGGGATGCTAGTGGCCGTTGCTTACCGAGCTGAGCGGCTGTCATGGCCATCTGTTACATAACTTCAGACGTATGTACGCTGGGCGATACAGTTCACACGTACGATGAGTCCAGTCACCACATAGTTCCCCTGGCTGACTATGAGCAGAGATTGCCGATGAGCGCCGCGTCTGCGTCTAAGGAGGACAGACACTAACATCTCCATACGCGCATGCCGTAGCAACTGCGCATAGCGTCCGAGCGTGAGCACGTTATAGACTCGAGACGCAGAGAAGCAAGATCCGAAACGTACGTTTTGACAATGGCACCCACGAATGCCTATAATGACCCACTCGTGTGAGCAAGAAGTTCGTCGCGTACAGCATGATACCGAGACGGAACATACACCAAGGACGACCTGTACCTGGAGAAGACGTCAGAAGCATGCTCCGACAGCGCCCAGGGACGCTCATCGCTAGAAGTGGTCAAAAACGTACGCTCAAAGACCTGATTCGGGTAGAGATTGATCAGTTTCGATACATCACTACAACCTTACATGCGCTCACCATTCTGGAGGAATGAGATAGGTCCCGGTATTGCCAAAGTTGGCTACAGAGTAGAACCAGACAGTATGCCCGACTAGGGCTTGGTGCAGTACCTGCAGTGTCCTGAAAAGGCATTTAGTATACTTTCGCATGCATAGGAGCCCTAGCGACGTACACTAAACTGGCGACCTGAATTGAGTTTCGAGAGTCCGTTAGTCACGGAGGCGGCCACACAGGTGCAGGACCAACCAGGATTTTGTGCGTCCAGCCATCATTGGGATATCGCGCATAGTACGTCCAAGCCTGAGTACAGACGATACCAAGCACTCTATAGAGATCCAATGATGAGTACACCGGACGAGAAGGGACGTATGATGACTGACAATGATGACAGTCCCCATCCGATCTCTAGGGAACCTATCGTGTTTATTTGGTTCGGCAGTGACATCCTTTGACCGGCGACGACCAATCCGGACAAAACCCAAAGAGACCGCAAACGAAGAGCGGGAGCGAAGGTGTGTAGCGCACAGGACAGAACTGCTCGCGCGCGTAGCCAGAACACTAGCTTATATGAACTTCTCCGGCGCTTCGCAAACCGTGTATCACCGCTTTGAGGCTTCACATACAAACTGGAAAAGGCACCGTAGCACCCACGATGCGCCGTCTACCCCGGAGAAGCACAAAGTCGGGGAATCTTGACCAACTGTTCCGCGGGTAAGGTTGGAGACGATGAGAGGCGGATCGCGCCAATCTGCTGCGAAGTTTATGTGGGGACGCGTCCTACATCTGGAGCAGGTGCAAGCTACGCACATGACTGTAAACGCGCAGGACGACGCCACGTACGGCACCGGCGTCAAGCGCTTCATACCCGGTGCAGAGAGAAATCTTCACATTCTCTGGGAGAATGGAAGCTGAGGTCAATTCAATGTGCCTTCATGATCGTCTGGCCCGCCAGCGCATATGGGCTCATACAGGGCTAAGAACTGTACGCGATGCTCTATACGGCCAGTTTACCGTAGACGGTACGCACAACCACATATACGCGTATGCGCCGCCATATCAGATATCATTCCCTGCTTACTCGGTCCCACGGGTGTTGATCCGCAGCAGCGGGTCCGGTAACCGACAAGTGGCCGCTCTACAAGAGCGCACCATATTGTAGTACACCAGTACAAGTGGATCCAATACCACCGACGCTTCGTACTCATTCTTCGACCTCTTGCTTGACCGCCGCATCTCCCGCCGGTCGCGCGCTTTGAGGCCGAGCGGCAGCGGCAGGATATGACCTCACGCTTCCCAGGACGGATCCGACGATCCGCATCGCCTCCTCGCCATTCATAGCGCGATGTATATGCGCCGGCGTAAGGAGCTGAGAGCTCGGTGCGCCTGGCGCATGGGAGCGATCATTGTAGGCAAGACTTTCCGCTCTCTGCAATAGGCGTTGGAGAAACGCTCGTGTCGCAAGTGCAAGTGTGGCGGATCCCGCTGTCGTCAGAGCCTGTGGGAGATGCAGGCCGCCTGATATGCGCGATGTAGCATCAATGACGCGCGGGTCAATTGCTTGAAGGACGTCCATATCAGTGTATAGCCAGTGTCCGGGAGGAGCTCGCGACGTGATACGAGACTTGTCGGAAAGGCTCAAGTTTCGAAGAGGGTCGAGTACGAGGAGATGCGGAGTTGGCGGAGCGAACGGACATAGGGCCGGAGGCTGTAGCGAGCCATCTTCGGATTTGACTTGTGGGTGGATACGGGTATTCACACCGCATATAGCGCAGTATTCAGTTTCACTCCGGTGTGTGTCCGTATCGGGCTTTATCTCCTTCGTTGGCGCAGATGAAGGTTGCACAGGTGGAGGTCGGAGGAAGTGACCACCGTCTTCGAGCCAGATGTAAACGTCGGCGATACTGAGGTCGAGGTAGTTGGACGCTTCCTCAGACGACATTGAGGCGCGTGCTTTGGCATAAGCTTCGCACAAAGCTTGGGCACGGGCGCGCTGGGTAAGCCAGTACGTGAGTGACGTGATGACCCCGTACCATAGGGAAGAGAGCTGACCTCAATAGCTTTGCGTCGGCCATCAACAAGCGCACGTAGGGCTTGCGAGCTTGGAAGGAGCATGTACGGAAGGTGCGCGACCGAAACACCTCTGGCATCTGGATCGTGGCTCTCAGTACACACCAAGACGTAGGCATGCATGCATGCATACCTCGCGATGTCATAGGAAACCGTGGAAGAAGTGATTTCAGTAACCGCACGTAAGGTGGTATCTCATCAGCTCCTGATTGGCCTGAATCAGCCTTTGTTGACACCCGCTGTTTGCTTGCATTGAGGATGTCCACTGGGTTGATATGGGGCTGAGGATCGCGATACTGAGTTGATCGATCCAGCTCGAGATCGATGACTTGCTCGTCACCCAGAACAGACTTCTCATGTTTGAATGGATCCAGCTCGCGCCTCGGGTCAGGATGCCATGATGCTAGATCAGAAATGGATACGCACTTCGATCCAATGCTGTATCACAACATCAGGGTTCCTCTCGCCAACGAAAGACAGTGTAAGTTCCGCCAGAAAGGGCCGGTCCGTTGTCAATAAGACGGCGAAAGGGTATGTCGAACATGTAGCCGGTTCTTTGAGTGTGGACGGCGACGGGTCCGTGAGGGAACGAACAGACAGGTGTGATATGAACGCAGAGGTGTGCAAACTCTATAGCAGCACCTGTTAGAGGGAGCGCGAGAGGGTAGAGAATCAAAAGCGTACATAAGATGGCGAGTCAACATAGATCATACAGCGGTGCGTATGCCCTTCGGGAACAGACTCGCGGCTCCCTAGCGAACAGAGGTCAGCACTTCTGGGCCCATGCGTTGAGGCGCAGTGCGACGCACTCGGTGGAAGCCACAAGCTGCGGTCTCCAACATTGATGCGAGCAGTGAAGTGGAAGCGGCTCCCTACCACGGGAAGAGTTGAGGGGATTGACGACTCAGCTACTTCGGGTCTTGCTTGCGCGGAGGTCCAAGGTAGCACTCTAGCTTCTGGTCCCGGTTCGGGAGAGCTAACATCCAATGCGGGGACGGCTTTGCTCCGGTGCACGTACGGCTTGCGCCAGCTATGAGCACCAGGACGTGACACATTCTCGATGTCGACGTCTGCGTCTTCCTCATGCACCGTGATGGTTCTCCGCTTGACATCCCGCCCCAAGAAGGGTGCGAGAGCAGGAGTATCGATATGGTGTCCGAGTGTTCGTGAGAGGTGCGTGCCCGTAGCCGGCGCATCTCCTTGCGCCGAACCTCCAGTTCGAGGCGCAGGAGACGGTGAATGGTCCTCCCCTCCATTATCCACCCCCACCGCCATCTCAAACAAACTACGAAGACTGGGAAGACTGACTCCCGGGAGCTCTATCCCATTCTCGATCACCCACGCCTCCTCCTCCGGCGCAACCTTGACCGCGGTCGCGCGAATGCACTCTTCATGGCTGCCAAACTCGCGCTTATGGCGCAGACGACAATGGTTGTACAGCCCTTGCACGTTCGTCATGTCCGAGCGCGAACAGTCCGGGCAGACTAGTTTGGCGAGGGTGGGTGGGTTCTCGGCGGTGTTGCGTAGGTACATGAGCTTCTTGGTGGGGGCGCGTACGCCTACGACTTGGCCTCTGTTTCGAGTCGAACGTGAGGAAACGCGATCGGACGCTGACACGTCTGGAATTAGAGGAGCTGGGGTCGAAGTTACAGCATCCGTCGGAATGTGTGTATTCGGGGTAGAGCGTTCATGCTTCGTAGTGCGCGAAGGCAGTGCCTCATGAGAGAGAACGGGTAGGATAGGAGCCTCGGCCGCATGTAAAGCTTCGAAAGCCAGTGTTCGATAGTCGAAGCTGTCATCATTCAAGAAAGCTACAAACTTATCGGAACGAGCATCACTCCGCGTATCCTTCAAGACGTACCTTGCGAGGCGTGTCCAGCCCGAAGTGACTGCTGCAATTGCAGAGCCCAAGCCATCCGGGAGTTCACCGTCTCCTCCAGCCGTCGCCGTATGCCGATTTCCAAGTCAATCTGCTCGAGTACAAATCTTTGTGTGTTCATCTGGACTTCTGAAGTCGATTAGCATCGTGTCCATACTGTCTCGCGAAAGAAACGTACAATTCTCCATTTCGTCCACGCCCTCATCTGACGCCGTTTTGCGCCTCTTATAGGGTCGTGTGTCGGTCATCGTGCAGTAGAAGCGTTTATAATGTACAGCAGGTACAGGAAGAGCTCAAAAAGTCAAGTTCGTTGATTCATCAGGAGGTGGTGGGCAAAAGCAGAGCCGCAGAACTGCCCATGTTGCGCCAATTGACGCGTTACGTCACGCGTCGAGTAGACCAAAGGTCGTGTTCAATTCTGTGATATCTTTATGATATCTTCTGGATTTTCTCAGAAGAGTACAGATATCACATTTCCCTCACATAATCGATGCCAAAAAATCATATGACGAAAAGCAGACAGGCAAAAAGCCTCAGCGCAGAGCAGCAACAACCAACTCCAAAATCTCCCTCGTACTCTTCCCCCTATTCGCATCATCCTTCGCGACACCCTGCCACACAGCCCCATGATGCGGCTCAGCGCCCACAGCGCCCTTAATAACCTCCTCAACATGCTCCGCCGTCCCATGCTGCCGCTCGAACTTGACCCACCAAGCCCACGCATCGCCCAGATCCCTATCGGCACTGATCGCGCGCCCGAACCACGTCCGCGCTTTCTCGATTTTACGCTCGGACCAGAAGAGTCGCGCGACGGTGCATATCACCAGCGGGTCGTCCTGCGCTTTCTTCAGCGCGTCGATGGAACGCGTTTTGCGCGACGGACGGGGTTCAGCCCAGATCGCCGCGCTCCATAGTAAGCCGGATTCAGGGCACTCTTGCAGCCCGCGCGCAAGCATCGTCTTAGCCTGCTCCTTCCCGCCCGCCCTCTCCTCAACATCAACCGCCTCCGCCCAAAGCCTCTCATTCTTCGGATTCAGCAACCGCGCCTTATCCAATATCGCACGCGCCCTGATACTCTTTCCGTCCTTCTCCTCCAGCCTCGACGCCAGGATCCAGAGGGTGGTGTCTTTGGGGCAGGCTTTTAAGCCTGCTGCGTACGATGCGCGCGCTTTGGGTGTTTGGGAGAGGGAGGTGTAGAGTTGGCCTTGGATCATGTACAGTTTTGCGAATTTGGGGTATTTGGATAGGGCTGTTTCGACGGTCTTTAGGGCGGCGTCTAGTTGGCCTTGTTGGCGCTCGAAGACGGCGGACTTCATCCAGATCTAGCTTGAACGTCAGTTTGGGTGTCACAGGAAAATGACAGAGATCGAAACACACCCGCTCGGTATCAGCCACCGTTCTCGCGCGCACAAGCAACTCCCTCGCCACTCCAAGCTCACCGTTCTCCGCCTCAAGCTTGACAGCAGCCAACCAAATCTGCTCGCTCTCAGAATTGGCAACGAACGCCTTCTCGAGCACCTCTCGGGCACGCGGTACGTCTCCAGCCAACCACTTCTCCTTGGCCCACATCAACCACAGCACTTCGGCTTGCGGACAGTTGTGCGTGGCGCGCTCGAGAACCGCGTCGAGCGCAGCTGGTGTACCGTGCGCCTTTTCGAGGTCGGCTGCACGGCGCCAAAGAGATTGTTTGTCAGGGAACACGCGCAGAGCGTACGCGAGTATCGCGCGCGCGGTGCCGACTTTACCGCGCTCTTCCGCAGCATCGGCGTCGGCGACCCACGTATCGAGTCGGTCCTCCTCCTCGACGTCCATCGCAACCGTGGCTTTGACAATCGCCTCGCTCGTCCGCGGGCTGCCTTCGCCCTCAGCTTTCTCCGCCTCCTTCAACCACTGTTCACGCGTGAGCAACACGCGATGCTTGCGTAGTTCGGACACGGCCGCGCCGATCGTCTTGTCGACCAGGTTCAAGATCTTGTCCTTATCCGGCCCGTCTTCTTTCGTGTAGGCTTCCTGCTCGAGCAGCCGTCCCGCCGCGATCCAAATCTCATGACTCGTCGGAATGGCTTTCCTTGCTTTGTTGAGGACAGCCTTAGCCTTCTCGGGCGTCTCCAACCTCGCAAGCGCCAACCACAGCTCCACGCTCAGCGGTATAACCTCCACAGCCCTCGCCAACAGAATCCTCGCGTCGGCCGCCGAAGACTCGAGGTTGACGGTTTCCTTCCAAAGACGGACGGAGTTGGGGATGTGCTCGAGCGCTTTTCGCAGGACGCGCTTCTTAGCGTTTACGTCAGATTCGAGGTCGGCGGCAGCGAGCCAGATTTTGACGGATTGGCCGACGTGTTGGACGGCGTTGGCGAGAATCACTTTCGCGTCGTTGTTTTGCTGTGGCTCTCATCAGCGTCTGATAAATTAGCCAAGATGAGGGGAAGACGCACGTGTAGCCTGGCCGCCTCCAACCAAATATCCTCGTTCTTCGCACAGTGCTCGCACCCCATCTTGATCAACTTCCTCGCCTGGACCATCCTCCCCGCGTGCTCCTCCAATGCGGCTGCCGCTATCCATCCTGGCGCATGCTTGGGGTTGGACTTGACGAGGGACTCGAAGAGCATGCGTGCACGTTTGATGTCGCCGATTTCGGCGTCGGACTTGAGTTGGACGCTGTCGAGGGAGGTTAGGTAGCCCTTGGGGTCGACGGAAGTGGCAAGGCCGGAGGAGGTCGATGTTCCGGAAACCTACAAAGATGTCAGAGGACAGGACAATATCTATACAGAGCGGGCATACCTGGTCGAGTCGAACGGAGAGGAACTTGTCTCGAGCCTGCGCGAACTTGACGATATCCGTAGTCTCGCCATCTGCAGGCGTAACGAGTCCACCAGTCTACAGCACGAGTCAGTGTGGCATTACGCAGTAAGAAAAGAATATACACGTACCTCCTGCTGCATGGGATCCAAAGCATTCTCGTACTCCCCGCCAGCTCTAGCTCCCACAAGCACACTGTCGGGTACAACAAATGACCTCTCGTCCCTCTTCCGCTTCTTGCGCGTGAGATTGCCCACCTCTGGAATATTCTCCCATTCGGCGTCCGTCACGGCGGACAGCCCGCGCTTGAGGTCTGCGAATTGTTGTTGCAGCTTGGGGCGCGCGGCGCGCTCTTTCGCTAGTTCGGCTTCTTCGCGTGCTTCCCTATATGAGATAATTAATATAAAGCGAAAGAACCGTATGGTATGATAGCATACCTCCGCGCGCGTCGCCGAGCGTCCATGTTCTGGTCGACCATATCGTAGATCTTATCCGCCTCCTCGTCATCCGCCTCGTACGTCGTACCCGCAAACAATCCATATTCGTTATCCGGATCTTGGAATTGCTCTGGGTCGACCTCTTCCTCGCCGCGTTTCGCTTGAGCTTCTCTGAGGTTGTGAGTCAATATATCGATAAAATAGACGCATCGAGAATAGACGTACGCAATGGCTTCGGCCGAGGGACCTTCACGTGCAGGACCAATATCCGAACGAGTCGTAAAACCAGATGCACTATGCATAAAATGAGCCAGCATATCATTTCAAAGATGAAACGGACGCACCCTCGACCCAAACCCGCGACATAGGACGCCGGAGCCGGCATGCTCAAGAACGCCAACTTGTTGGGCTTATTCGACGCCATATTGACGAGCTATGTGATACAGATATTTGATGTGTAGTTTGACAGTGAACAGAGATATGGACGCGAAATAGCCGGCGGAGGCAGGTGGCGGTCGCGCACAAAGCAACTCGGTGCCGCATCCACGAGCATGATGCGTTCTTCTCACGCGTACTGGACGCGTCGACGCGACTTGCTCTGACTTGCTTTCGACCGCGTCTCGCCTTCCAACGACACTTTGCTCCCGAATAGCCCGTTCTGTGATACCCGTATAGGCCTGGAATATAATCTCTAATAGCCGCCGGATGCATGTATGGCGGCCCTACACGCGCCCACTCGCCACCATCACTCGTTCACTGTGTACCTCCGCCGCAACTCATGAATATTCTGCTCCTGCCGCATCACTAGCCTTCCGCGCCCAGGTCTCTCAAGCTCTCTCAGAGCACAACAAGTATCGCCGCCCGGCCATACCCTTCTACAAACTACGTGCTCACAGGGTGCCTACTTTATGGACTCTGTACCGCGGACTGCTGAGGTTCGCGCCCAATGATCTGGTGTGTACTGACTTGAAGGTATCACAATATTGAAAAGATGCTGATTCAAGGAAGTGAAGGTTCGATGGCGTATACGCAAGATGTTCGAGCGACAGCAACACCTAACAGGTCCGCGCGCCACCAGAGTACAGCTGCAGAAAGCACAACGCGTACGCTACATCCTTATGTCACACGACCGAACGAACGCTCACAACGCAGCAGTGGCTCGACAAATTCAAACTCGCATCCGCAGGCGATCCCCACGCCGTAGCTCTCGTAAACCGATACGCCCGTCTCCTCGCCATACGAACCGAGAAATGGCGCTGGGAGCGTCTCTTCCGGGACGAACAGGTACATACACTCCTTCCCATCCCTTCCACCCTCCTCTGACCACCTATCGTACTCAGCACTGGCGCGAACACCTCCGCAACCGCCCAATCCTCACAGGAGCCTTCATGCGTCCCTCCTTCCACAACGGTCCCCTCCCCCGCATGAAACCCCAACCCAAACACATCACAGGTCTCATCGTCTCCCGCCTCCGCGCGCGCGTCAGGCGCGGCGAACAACAGCGCTTGCTAGCGGAGTGGAAACAAGATGTCCAGGTTGAGGCTGTGCTGGAGAACCAATTGCTGGGAGAGGAAGATGTGAAGGAGAAGGGCGAGTTCGGTGGTGGAAGGGCGCAGGAATGGCATGGACCGATGAACGACAAACTGCGTTTAATCTCGAAATCGTTCGAACTCGACGCACAACGCCGGTCTGCGCCTCCTACACCTGAGATGCTGCGCCAAGTCCGTGCTGCGCGGTCAGAGAAGATACGAAACAAGATGGCTGAGAAGGAGAGGATGAAGAGGGGCGAAGTGAATAATCGCGCGATGAAGCAGAGGAGAATGGGCTATCCCGTCGGTGCAATGGTTGAGTGGGATGAAGAGAAGACGAGGGAGATGGTCGCTGTGAGAAGGAGTGTGAGCGAGGTTGGATGGCATGGGGCGTTGAAGAAGAGGTTAGGGTGGAAAGTGAAGGGGGACGTTGATGTTGAGGGCGCGACCAATGAGAAGGTCGAGAGGCTGGAACGGGAGTTCCAGGAGGTTAGCGAACAACAGCTGGTTTCGACTGAGAGGTAGCCGCCGTATCGCCCGCTCATTGGCTCCCATACGATGCAGCGCATATGCACAATTGTGCCTCTCGTGCAACCGCTGTAACGGATCCTTAGTACGAGTACGAGTCAGGCGCATGTGCGCGTGCCCGTATTGCATGGAGTAGCGTGTACATACTATTCACCGCTTACTAAGAACCTGCCCAATGCTTTTGTGAATACTCAACTATGGGCTTGTGTACACACGCGTTGAACAGTACCGAAAGCGCTGCCAGTCGACTCGTCAGGCCGTCAGTCCGCGCGCCACAGCCCAATGCGAGGCGTGGGAAGATGATACCTCATCACGAATGCACGATGAGTAATTGCTCTCTTCCTGTGTTGTTCCTTCCACCATACGGATTGGGGACGCTCCGGGCCCATACACATCTTGCTGCGCTGAATATAGTCTCTACATCTCTACCCGGGGTAATGTGCCGTATAATGGCTGGTATAACGCGCCGGGCTTGACAGGACTCAGTTTCTGCACTCGGAATTCCGCCCTCGAACCGCCTGCGACCTGCCTCTGCATACATCGTCTACAAATATAAAGCTGGACGAGGAAACATTTCCCCGGCATTCTTTCAGCTGGCCACGGGCTTGCAAAACAAGCTCTTGCATCGCCGCGAAGGAACCCGTGCGCAGCGCCCACTCCACCTTCAGCACGTCTCAAGAACTGACTGTCAATATCTGTCTGGTGCAGGTTCTATTTCAGATAGACAGGACTACCGACACACGGTTCTGATACTGTGTATTTGTCAACATGAGCTCAGTCAATGAAGCTGCTGAGAGTGCTCCTGGGACGGAGGTGCTTCGGGGTCCAGGTGCGTACTGCCCGTATAGTCCAAGACTAAACATATGGGTTTGACTCTTGTTCCTACATACAGGGCTCCTCGAGTCAATGTCCACCGTGCGACACAGTCTCGGGTTCTACACCGCCGTATGCTGCGTCGGAAGGTTCTCTACCGCTTCTCCTGGAGCCGCAATCCCTACCCTATCCCTACTCTATAATGCACTACATGAAGTCATAGCGCAACATCCCCCGCTCTCCCTCAGCATTCAAGACGAGTTTTCACCATCCGCGCGCTTCGTCCGGATCCCGTCCTTCGATCTCGAGCGTCTCCTCCATGTCGAGCCTCTTCGGGACGAAGTCACTCGAGAGCGCGCATTGACTCAAGTCATCGAGGCGCGCCTCTCTACTCGCTTCAGCGACCTGGGTGTCTTGCCGCTTTGGCGACTCGTGGTGTTCCTTCCCTCAGATGCGACGGACGCGGTTGCGCCGAGCGAGGTCGATATCGCGCTCTTCGTGCACCATGGCATCGCAGACGGCGGTAGCGCAGTCATCTTCATGCAAACGCTACTGACCGCACTCAACACTGCTGCCTCTCAACAACCATTCAACTCCCTAGGGACCATCGCAACACCGCCGAGAGCCACCCTTCTCCCGTCACTGGAATCACTCCACACTCTTCCCGTATCTTTCTTTACCCTCCTAGGCGTGATATGGCGGATGGTGTTCCCAGCCTCTCGCGCGGGGTTTTGGACTGGCAAGCCCGTCTCCCGCCCGGAGGATGTCGTGCGAACGCGACAGGCCATCCACGTTTTCAGTGCCGAGACGGCCGCAAAACTCCTTGCCGCGGCGCGCGCACACAAGGTTACGCTCACGCCCCTGCTCGAAGCGCTCGTCGCGCGCGCGCTCTTCGACACGCTACCCGCGGACGGTACCGCCAATCGTCTTGTCGCTTCATGTCCGATCAACTTGCGCGCGTTCATGCCAGAGCAGAAGTCCGCCATGGGCGTCTTTGTTGCATCGGACGATCACGAATTTTTGCGCGGTGGTGTGGAGGCGGACGTGTGGAAGGAGGCTCAGCGCGCGGGAAGTCAGCTCGCGAGTACGTTGGGGTACATCAAGAAGGGCAAGCACGTCAACGTCGGCATGCTGCGCTACGTAGGCGACATGCGACAGAACTTCGAGGGGAAGGTCGGCAAGCCCAGGGACCACTCATTCGAGGTTAGCAATACCGGCGCCGTCGATGGTTCAGGCGGGCAAGGACCCTGGAGCATCACGCAACTGCTGTTCTCACAGAGTGGGAGCATTACGGGCGCGGCGGTCACTTTCAGCGTTAGCTCGATTAAAGGAGGGCCTGTGACTGTCGCGGTGTCGTGGGTCGAAGGTGTCGTGGACGAGACGGTTGCGAACCGGAGCTTGGAGAAGCTGGTTTCCTTAGTTGACGATGTGTGCTCTGGAAAGCTGTACACCGCGGGAGGTTAACACAGTTTCTCACCGAGTTGAAGGAGTCGATTGCTGACCGGCGTCCTCTGCCAATGCGCAACCGATAATCATCGGTGCGCAATCAAAATGTTCCCGGTCCGTGAGGTACCGTGTGCAGCGTCAGTTGCGCTCGGTTGTCGGGCGTGTTGGTCGGGAACCAACACTTTCAAGGCACGCCCGCGCGGCTTCGACGCGGTGGTGTGACAAGCGCTCGACGCGCTCGCTGCTAGCTTATGGTGCCGAACATGGCCGCCAAGTACTCAACATACAATAGTCTTACTAGTACGGGTCGCTACTAGTTGTACAGATAGGTTCTAAGTGGCTACCTAGCGCATCAATATGATACTGTGCACTATATGACCTTAAGCCACTCCCGAGCCCGATCCCCCGGCACGGCTCGATGACTGGCTGTGAAGTCTCGACCCTCCGACAAAGTGGGTAACGCTGGGGAAGTAGCGACCATCCTTCAAGATCTCCCTGTGAAGCATGGAACGGGCGCCTCTGGCCCGGGCTTTGTCGGCGTCCGAGAGCTTAGCCGGTTCGCTGTTGAGCAGGATGTCCAAGGCCCTGTCTTTCTCCGTTTGAACAGCGACCTCTACTACTGTGGACGTTAAACATGGTACTCAGGGTGCACGAAGCTATCCTGCGAGCGCGGCGTACCTTTGCGGCGCGTATTCGAAGCTGTACAGTCAGCATCAGAAGGGCGCTTCTTGGTGGGAGTGAGAGCTTCGGCCGGAATGGACCTTGCTTGCGACGTCCATGAGCGATTTATGCCCCCGTCCTGGTCGCCGCCGCTCGTGGGCCCACACTGCATTCCTAGGGTGCACGGTAAGTCTTTGCGATAGAAGTTATGCATAAAATATAAGCTCAATATACCGCAGATCCCGCTATCTTCGGCGTATTCGGTCGTCGACCCATGAGCAGAGCCATCCAGCCCGGCAAGCTTGGCTGGTACCCCTTCGACGAGCGTATCTTGTGACGAGCTTGGGTTCATCAACTCAGAAACTTGTGCGAGGTGAGATACTGCTATGAAAACATACACGAGTTGATCGATCTCATTCTGTTCCTCAGGATCGTGCGCGACACGGATGTGTTCGAGTTGCCCATTGCGCACGACGTCAAGGATTTTATCCTTACTGGTCGGGTTCTGGTAAAATCTCATATCCATGTGCGCCTGCATGAGCTCGTCACTGAGACTCGCACAGTGCGCCTTCCAGAACTCCTCCCGGGATGTCAACTCCGCGAGAGCAGCATCGCGCGCTTGCTCGGCGACCTGCAGCTGATGGCGCAAAGAAGAGTTCTCGGTATCCTTGAGCGGGCAGAGCGTACCTTTGAATGATATAGTCACTGAGAGTGTATACTAAGAGATATTCGTGGCATACTCACAGTCGTCAGCGGGCATGCTGTCGGCACTCTCACCCCATCCGAATACCTGGGTATCCGACTGCGAGCTCAAGTAAGCCAGGACTCTGCTCATATAGATGAGCATTCAATACGCAAGCTGCATGCGTAGGGTGAGTGGGACGTACTGTGGATCGAGCGGGCCGTGATTGCCGGTGCGATGGACGAGACGACTGGCGATGGACTCGATCTGACTCTCAACGTCTTGCGACGGCTCGTAGTCCGAGTCTTCAGACATGATGATGCCGATCTCGATATGGTGGTGGTCAACAGCAGAGTGAACAAAGCGGAGGCATGATACGCCAAAACCGTTGCTTCCGCTTTCCCACCTTTTCGGCACTGCAATCGCGGGCCGCTCCTGAATGGCTCACCTCCTTTTCTTTGCCGTTCACTGCTCTCTGAAGTTTCTGTGCTAACCAATGTCTGGCTCACGTTTAAGAACTCCTGTCTTCTCGGATCCTGATGGTACGTCAACAGCTAGGCTCACCCTGCACGAGCTAACTTACCACAGCTTGGACTCCTGGATCCGGTCGTAACGCTGGAAAATGGTACTGCCAAGCTTGTAAGCAAGGGAAGTACCTCGATAAAGACTCCGCTATTCGACACGAGAAGACAAGCTCAAAGCACTCGCTCAACATGGCCTCCTGGCGCTCTTCCCGACAGGCTGCACCATCTGCCGCTGGATCGAGTTCAACATTTCCGAGCAGCCCCTCTCCGGTACCAAATACTGAGCTGGAAGGCGATCTCTTCGGACGCATGGATACATTCCTTGCAAGCCTTCAAACACCGCCCTCATCTCCACAGTCCAGTATCGACGGGTTTGGCGAACCGATGGACGTCGAGGCTCCTCTTCCAGACATTCCCATGCCGCAATACGTCGGTTTCGACGAACGGGAGCGTGTGGCGGGTGCTGCAGATCACCTGCGCCACTTTCTACACCATGGTGGGCAACTTGACATGCGCCATATAGATGGTGGTGAGTATATTGGGGTCGGACAAGCACCGGAGGAGTATCAAGAGACAGGTGCGCCATGTTGCCGCTGCTACTTGAGTAGCACGGTCTAACTCGAATCGCACAGGGGCCCCTCGTGTGCGTCAGACCAAGAAGACGCCGACAGACCCATTGTTCAGACCATATGCGGATCGAGTAGTACGTCTTTTCCTCGCATCAAGATCTTCGTCTTTGGAAACTCATATCGAGAACAGGCATGCATCCTCGATGTCCTGCGTCACCTACCTCGGTCAATATTCTCTGACGCGCAGATGGAAACCATCACCTGGGCTCAAGCTGCACTGCACGTCGATAATGTGCCATCCGTTTCCTGGCTCAAAAATATGAGTGACGATCTGCAGGACAAGATAGGCATCCGCACATTGCGATTCCAGGGCGCACTGGGCCACGTCTACTACTCGAACAGCTTGCAAGACCAAATTGCGCAGGTGAGAAACACTTTCCTTTGCGCCTCCGAGTCATGCTGTATATGTATGTGCTGACTACTCGCGGCAGGAGTTTGGCAACCCGTTGATCTCGAAGCATATTGGCGTATATCCTGCCGATGTTGAGCCTGGCATCTCCTTGACAGACCCGCATCAGTTCCGGCGGTGGCGCCACGACGCGGACCCTGATATCCTGACACCAATGCTTCGAATGAAGAATCCGATTTCGGGCGCTTTCGAAGACTTCTATGTCTTCGAACCCGCTCAGTTGAACGCCGAGGGCAAGAACGAGATCTGTATGCCTGTTCGATTCTTCACACGAGAGGTCTCTGCTGGTCAGACATCTACCAAGGAGTTCTTCGTAGAGGCATGGCGCCTTCAACCCGTTGTGAGCGATCGGCCTGAAGGCTCGGGATACGTAGTCCTCGAACACTCTTCATTCGAGTTCCCTGCCAGTTGGTTACTACTGTCGTTCATACAACTCCGTTCAACATACGAGACTTTGGGTGTTCCGAACCCGGGAAGAATACTGGGTACGTACACTATGCATATATGCGCATATATCTTCTCATTTTGGATACCAGGGCGTCGTATCGAGCTTGGCGGCGAGCTGCTTGGTTGGTCGCGTACATCCGATGCACAGGCGGGCAATAACTGGCGAGTGAAGGCGCGCGGGCACCGTGTTGCGACGTTCATGATGTGGCTGTACTGCGATGACACGTCCGGCAACAGCTCTAAGAAATGGAATAAACACAATTCCTTCTTATGGACGGCCGCCGGTCTCCCTCGAGCGATGGCGCAACAGCAACAGAATGTTCACTTCCTATGTACATCTAATCTTGCGCCGCCTCTCGAGATGCTGGATGGCATTGCCACACAACTCGAGTAAGTTGCCCGTACCTACATTCAAGGCTTGGGCTCGGGCTGACAAGGCCGTTCTCTAGGGAGGGTCAGCGCGATGGATGGTGGGTGTGGGATTACGCAAACAGCGAGCCCGTACTCGTCATACCTGAAGTACTCGCGCTGTTGGGTGATAACCCGATGCAGAGCGAGCTCTCTTGCCACATAGGGCTAATGGGCAAGTACTTCTGTCGAATCTGCAAAGTTCGAGGTCGTGATGCGGCCGACAACGAGCCGCGCGCTCGACCCACTGTCGTCTCGCCACTCGATATACCGCAGAACGAGGCCCACCCGGCTGCGACTGTCACCTCTCCCTTATCCGATGAGCTTGACTCTGCCTCAAATCCGTCTTCAGCATCTACCCTGGCAGGCTCATCTGTCGAGTCCTCCAATGCCTCGACTTCAGGGCTTTCAGGCTCTGCGACGTCTGCCGCTTCCGATGCAGCACCTTCACCGACTACCACGAAGCCACGCAAGCGTCCAATGGAAACACTGCAACAACTGCGTGATCGGGCCGTCCGCTTTCTGGCAGTGAGTTGTATCGTATATTTAGTTGTTCACCTTTCGCTGACATTGTACTCAGACAAACCCACTGCGCCACAAGGACGAAACGCAGGCCCAACTACGCTCTATCTTCACGGAAGCGTCGCGCGTGGGCGGTAAGACTCAGGCCGGACACATGCAGACAGAGTTCGGCGTCAAGGATACGTATCAGACAAGCTTTATGGAGCGCATCTTCGAGTTCGGCCGCAAGCTGCGCGGTTCCGTGCCCGAAAAGCAAGCCAAGATGGACGCATACATTCGAGACAACATCCCCAACATCGTCACAAGCCCCGTGTGGCGCATTAAGGGTTAGTCTATCTACGAATGAGCCCTGCTGTACAATGGCTGATCGTATACGCAGATCTTGATCCTCACAAGGACACACCTGTCGAGATTCTCCATGTCGTGCTACTCGGATACGTGAAGTATTTCTGGCGCGATATAATCTCACGTCTCAATGCCGACGAGAAGATCCTTCTGGCCACAAGGCTCTCGTCGTTTGACGTCTCTGGCCTTGGTTTATCTCCACTTGTAGGCACAACTCTTGTCCAGTATGCGGGCTCCCTCACTGGCCGCGACTTTCGTGCCCTCGCACAAGCTGCACCATTCGTTCTCTATGATCTCACCTCCGACGAGTGCTATGACGCATGGGTTGCACTTTGCCGCCTGATACCACTGATCTGGCAGCCGGAGATCGTGGATCTTGACGCACACCTTGTAAGGGCTCACAATGCTCTTATCATATATCATACTAAGACCTATTCTAGAGCGAGATGGAGGAGGCGATCGACTACTTTCTCTTGTGCACCGCCAAGTGGACACCTCGTTGGTTCAATAAGCCGAAGTTCCATTTACTCCGCCACCTTCCAGCTCACATACGCCGCTTTGGCCCTGCCATCTTGTTCGCTACTGAGGCGTTCGAGGCCTTCAACGCTGTAATACGGGCGCAGAGCGTGCACAGTAATCGGCACGCCCCTTCACGCGACATTGCACGGGGCTTGGCCCAATGCAATCGTGTTCGCCACATATTCAGTGGTGGTGTCTTTGCCCAGCGACCCGAGCCTGCAGATCCTACCGCTCGATCTGTTGCCGACGTTCTTCCACCCCTGTTCCCGGGTCCTGAGCCACCACGCGCCGAGCAGTTACAGACTGCCGGTGAAGGTTGCTTAGCCCTTGTACACCTTGGACCGGGTTCGGGCTCCCGCCGCAATCATCTCGCCAATGAACTTGGTATACTGCGGCAAGCAGACCCTACCCCAGGTATGAATGCTTCAGTTGCCATATCACCCAGGCGCCGACTGATCTGTTTGCCTACTCCAGGACTCGTCTCCGTCCCGGCAAAAGCAAAGCCGGTGCCGTGGTCCTCTTTTCACACGCTTTCCAAACTGTCTGAGCCCGATACACCACCGGATACTTCAAACCCAATGTATCTGCGTTGTTCAGACGTCATCTTACAGAATGGCGAGAAAGCAATCGTCGGTTCGTGGGCACTACTCGGCTCACTCGATCGCAAGGGCCACCCTCTCCAGCCTCTCAGAATTGCACAAGTCGTAGAGATCTACCAACGACTGTCATCACCAGCATACCTGCAGGGTATACCTGATCAGGTAATGGTCCAGTACAGCGAGCGCACGGACGATATCATTCCCGGCTACCTGATGTACAAGCTCGCTCGCCGTGAGTTTGAACTTGTCGACTTCAAGGTATATGTTCTTACTATATCTGCGAGCTCATAGAGTACTCAACATCGTCTATAGAACCTAGTATGTTTGGTCAACGTACAGCACAACTGCGCAGACAACAACTGCGACATGTCAGGATCTGCGAAGCTGATACAAGAGCGCGAGGATACTGGCCGTACTGTTCCCCGGGTCAAGCATCATAACCCAGACGATATCATGCTCAACATCGCGCAGCAGCGCAGCGCTCGATATGTAGGCGTGTTTCGGGCACCTGTCCAACCGCTGGAGCTTGAATCGAGCGTCATGACGGGTGCTGAACGGGAGATCAGGGAACAGAAGGCCGGAAAGGGAAAGAAGAAGGGCGGAGCGCGAAGGAAAAAGGCCACTCAGCCTGCTGTCCCTGCGCGTAAGAAGCCACAGCCAAAATCTACCGCTCAAAAGCCTAAGCCGGGGTCAACGTCGCGTAGCAAAGACGGGAACACGGCGGCACGGAACGGTGGCAGAGGTGGGAATACCAAGGGCAAGGGTCCTCGTGGTGCTGCTGCTGAGAAACCCACTTCTAGCCTAGCAATGGAGATAGATTAGTGACTGTATGTATTATGTCTAGTGGAGTCAAAGACTGTGAACCAGATGGTTGAGATCCAAGCTGGTCGCCTGCTGTGCTGCGCCGACCTGCGCGAGCACGTCATGTCACGATGTGACCCCGCGCGCCGCGACTTTGTTTGCCTTGTCTTCAACTCTCGTGTCGAGCGTTCTCCATGATCAACGGGATCACGTTACCCTGTTTGCCAGATGACGCCAGCTTGGGCGACATCTGGTATAAAAGGATGGGCGCCTAACGATATCCTGCATCCGTCTTCTCTCAGTCCCTCTCATCGTCGCTCGTGGACGCACATCCCCTCTCTGAAGCCAACATGTCATCTCCTTTCCCTGAGAATCCCTTCTCTGAGCCCTCCGCAATCTCCGAAGAACAGTTCACCACCGTGAAGAACTACTGTAGTCACCTGGCGAACAGCATGTCGCTCACTCCGTCGCAACTCAACGATCTTCTCATCAATGTCAATGTATGTCCCCGCTCAATCGTACCGCCCCAACATGTGCTTATCTCTACCACAGATCACTCGGCAGATGGACCACCAGTTCTCGTCGGGCCCTATGATGTGGAATGTTCTACAGACATCCCTCTTGATGCAGATGCGCAACCATCAGGTCAAGGAGGGTATCGACATCGTGGCGATCAATGAGTTGGCGAAGAACGCGAACAAGCTCGTGAAGGAGCACTTCACCCTTGACGCGAAACAGAATGTGTGTTGCTCTTGATATCCTGCTACTTCGCTTCTGACCATGATATCTAGAAAATCCTCATCAGTCGCGCTAAGGAGGTGTCCATCCAGGCTGGGCGAACAGTATACATGACCACCCACATCGATCTCGAGGTATGTGCGCCAGCTCCGATGGATGCGTACTGCCTCTTACACACGAGCAGAGGAATGTCGAGACCCTGGACGCATTCTCAGAGATTGCCGGTGACGAGGTTGCTGAGGGTGTGTTGCGCTCGGCTTGCTCCGAGAAGGCCAAGAATGCACGCGGCCAGCTTCGTATCGACGTACGTAGCATAACCCCTCATCTCTTGATATGAAGCTGACATACTTGGTACAGATCTACAAGACCATGGTGGGAGCTAGTCGTACGCATCTTGCCAAGGCCACGGTTATGGTCGTCAGCAAGTATGGTGGACGCCTGATCAAGGACTTGACCCAGATTCCCTTGTCGTACCAAGTTCAGCTTGCTCTTTTGGTATGTTCGAAGCGCCCTTTCCCTCGAGTATGCCTCTGACTGGTGTCCTAGCGTCGCTTCACATTTGAAGAACAGTGGGGCGACTGGGTCGAGAAGGTCATTCATGAGGAAACCGGCGAGGAGATCACTCGTAAGCGCACAAGGGGCTCGGGCAAGACGATCAAGGGCGAAGATTACTGGTCGCTCTGTGACGCTTGGTTTGTGAAGCTCATTGAGAAGTTTGGTGGCCGTGATTTCAACAGCGAGCCCTGGCAAAAGTACGCGCTCCCTGCCTCCAACGATCGAACATGACTGACGAGTCCCTGCAGATATATCAAGGAGACTATCATGCGCGACCTCGAGCTTTTTGGCAGCGGTACGGACCCCAGTGTTGAAGACTTGGGTGCCGAGTATGCCCCAACTGAGGAGGAAGAGGCTCCCTCCCCCGCTCCCACTGCCAGCTCGTCCGGTTCTTCGTCTGCGTCGAGTTCTTCGTCTGGAGCCTCATCATCTGGCGCTTCGGGGATGCTCGCAGGTTTCTCTTTCTCGATGTAACCTGTATTGTACCCCACCATACTGTACTGCTTCATAATGTGCTACGTTTTGTATACTTCCCCCTATAAAGATCGAGATATTGCAATCTGACCACGCTGCGCTTGCCAGCTGCTGCCCGAAGATCTGCGAACTTCTATTCCATAAGTATCGAATCGAGTTGGTTTAAGACTCGAGATTTGGCACATGTATAGATATCAGCATAGTACACTACTCTAGATAGGTGAATATACTTGAGTGTCCCAGCTTCTAGAGATAATCCACAGTCGGTCCTCACCCAGCCTGGAGAGCCGTGCGACTTTCTTTCACGTGCTCGGGCCGATGTGCCAGCGCGCGACGCGCGTCGTTCGACTTCGAACTTGACCGCGACGAACGCCTGTGCAGTGGTGCAGACTGCAGCTTCTGCACTGAGGTGAGTGATACGCGCATATTTCGACGGGATGGTGCTCATCTCATTCTCAGGTTGTGGCATTCCCATCAAGCACCCCACCGTTCGGTACGTTCAGTTCTCATTCGACATGTCTCGTGTGCTGATCGTTCGGCAGGTGGTACATTTCGAGGTGTGTCTCTTGCATGCATGTATGAGCCCAGCTGACTATCCTGATGGCTGACTAGGTGTTCGCAGCTAGCTACTATCGGCTGTCTGGGGCGAATTCAACCGCTCTCGAACACTCGGGTCTCGCGAAACCGGTCGAAACTGGTCTTGGGCTGGAACTGGGGCTATTAGTCTGGATGCTGCTTTACTGCTGGACTGGTGCTTCTCTGGGCTACTGGCTTCTCTGGAATCTTGCTGCCTGTCTCGTATTCATTACGATGGTAATTCCGTTTCGCCTCTACGTGCATTGTCCCGTATCTGTATTCATGTATTCCCATGTATTATATACAAATCAAACTGAATGGCATTGATATTGAAATCTATCGTTCTTAAGAGAGTGAGCCGCGGCCTGCATAGAAGTACGAATAGTCGAAGGAAAGTCCCGATACGGGCAATCGGGAATTTTCGGAGGGGATGCGATCCGTCGCTCCGAGGTGTCCGGTGCACTCGATCACCAACCAAGCTTCGGGCGATAACCAACCAACCCATCCCAACCGACTCAGCAATACTGTTGCGTGATCGGTATCCTTCCAATTCCCAACCTGGACATCAAAAACCGGTGGGAGACCGTATTATCTGGCGGTGGTGTAGAGGTGTCATATACTGGCGCCAGATATTAGACACACCATATGGAATCCAGTTGCCAAGATGGATTGTGCATTCGAAGACCCGGCGTTGAGCGCTGAGCGCTTACTACCCATTCGGGCTCTCAGCGCACCGACGCCCGCTGACCATGCACAGCCTCGGGCGCTTCTTCACCCACTCGGACCCATGTCCCCCACCATGGTCCGAGCGCGCTCAGCTAAGCGAACTGCGGTGGCTCAAGCTGTACGAATACAATACCGCGCCTCGTGTAAACCATACAGCTGTGACCCCACACCTGAGTCAATGCTCGGACCACGAAGACAAAAGGATGTATAAAGCGCTGGGCCTTCTCAGTGGTTTGACCGCTTTTCAACCCTTACACTCTTCACCCACCCACTCTTTGCCACTAGCACAACATGGCAGACCCTATGTTCATGACGCTTAGGCTGCATGACGAGGAAGACACGCATATGCGCCAGACGTCTTCGCGCAGCACCGCGTCGAGGCAAGCGCCCCCGAAGATCACGCTCTTGTTACTCGGAGATCCCCGCGGTGGCTCGCAAACGACCATCACCGCCGATACGCCCTGCACGTACGAGGTACGCTCTCTTCATCTTCTCCCATTGCACATCAAGGAATAACGCGATGTGCACACAGGCAGCAGTCAATCTCGCGTTCGACGCCTTCCCCTACGCGCTACAGCCCTTCCAGCGCTCTGAGCTCTCCTTCGCACTCACCCGCCCTCGACCGGGCGGCGGGTACATGTCGCACGCGCCTATCCGTCGGAAAGATGACGCTTGGATGGACACAATGAGGCATATAGCGGCTGACCAGTTCGTCCAAGTCCTCGTTGACCGGTCCAGAGTGAAGAGCGCCCCGCTCCCTACCCAGCCGCATCGAGATCAGTACTCGCATACAGTAAGCCCACCGCCAGGGGAGAAGCATGCGAGAACTGCCGAAGAGTCGTGTGGCGCCGTGCGGAGAATGATGAAGTCCTTCGTCAAGCTCGGTTAGACCCCTGCGTGTACAACCTACCTGTACTTCAGATACCCCAGCCTCAGAAACGGACATCGTCCCAGTATACCCATTCCTGGCAGTCTCTCATGCAAATTTATCCTGACATACCGTCATACCATATGTATACAAGCCCATCAGTATGATTGCAATTGTATGATGAGATGTGATTCGTGATATGCAGCATAAATGTACAATGATTATACCAGATGGGCGCGAACGAAACGTGAGATATGAAGGCTATCGACACATCTTATTGTGTCTTGTTCTTGTTCTTGCGTATGTTTCTCCGCAAGAACCGGCGCGCGGCCGGTACACCGAACTATAAGAAGACAGTCAGCGCGCCCGTTCACCCGAGATAAGAGGGAGAAGCACGTACGTTGAGTATAGGGTATAACACAAGAAGCGTGCCGCCGACGGCCCAAGCGTAGATAACCCGCTGGGGCATCGGCTCGGGAAACTGACTCTTACTCCATTTGAAGATCGCGAGGTCTTCTGTCAAGATCGTCGCGAGTAGAAGCCAGCAGTGTTGACCCATCCTAACCGCTTTTCTAGAGACGCGACGGAATCAGCAAACGTACAGTCGAGGAGAAGAGGAGACGTACCGTGGGTTGCTGATATACTGATACAGTTCGCGAACGGCTGGAAGGGCACAGAGGAAGACACCGGCCAATCTCGAGATGACAAACGGATGGTCCGGCTCCATCCAGAGCAGCGTCTACAACCACGATGATTACATGCGACGTCAGAACGAGTCGATAGAGAGCGCACCTTGAGATAGAACGGGTTCAATTCTGCAGCGAGGAATACCGCTAACAACAGCACCACCGTGACATAGTGTAGAAAGTCGGCCGAGCCATGCCACTGGAAGGACGTGAAATCGTGCGGCGAGAACTGCTTGAACATGCGTTTTGTACGTGCCCGGAAGCCGCGAGGTCTTCCGCGCCATGTGAAAGGCTGGGCAAGGCATAAGCTTCACGCGCATGACGGCCTGGAAAGGGGCACTGACCTTGACTTCGAAGTACTGGCAGGTCTTCATACCAAGGTACGTCCCGAGCCAATTGCACACAAGTACATCCATAATCCACTGAATAAGATGTCAGCTCATATTAACAATGAACTGGCGTCCGGCTGACATGATCCCACCAGCACTGTGAGATAATGTTCAGTACGTGCGATACAAATGAACTTGAAAGCTGGTATTACCTCTCCGAAGTTAGCTAGTTGATGCTCAAGACTGTACTCGGCGAATTCGAACGCGATACTCAAGATCTACAAATCATCAGCCTAGTTCGCAAGAACGCCAACTACAACGTACCCAGCAGAACCAGTAGTCTCGTAGGATCAGAGCTTTCCCAAACCAGCCTAGCGCGTGCGCGAGACAGAAGATATCAATTGCGTCCTGACAAAGTAGATAAGCCAACCCTGAGGTGAAGAGAGATGGGATGGAACGTGCGTACCCAAACGTTCGCGAAGGTGAACTCGCAGTTCTCCGCGTAGCTCTTTTCGGGCAGCGGTTTTCCCAAGTTCGGATCCAAGTAGGTCATCATAGCGCGAGCCGAGCTGAGATCTTGGAAGAGTAGAAAGACAAGCGCCAGCTCGTAGAGAAGGTTGACTCCGAGCACGACACGCCAGAACGCCGGATGCGGGCGGATGAAAGGTCCGTCGCGGAACTGTATCATCGAGAACAACAAGAAACTGGATATCGCAGCGTATGCTCCCCTGTACAGATCATCCTGAGTGTGAAAGTCGCAACCATGTATGAAGCACTCACACACGGCGCTTGTCGCTCCCCTCGGGCAGTACATCGTCTGTTGTCGCAACATATGCGAGCAATACCAGTGCAGCAGCAAGTACTGAGAGCGTCACGGGCTTGAAGACGAACCTTTCGAGCCAGTTGAGTAAGAGCATTGGCAAGGGTTAGGCCAGACTCACTCTACAGACGTATCCTGAGTCTCTTGAAACGGTTCTATCCGAGTGTAAGACTCGGCTCGGTTGGCCTAACCTCCAATACTCGCGTCAAGATGAAAGGCAACGGGCGTAGACAGTATGACGGACATCAAACCCTATAGAGCATCAGCATCAGATATATGGGCATCATACGTTCAGCTTGACGCGCACATTGTACTGGATTTCCATGAAGCCCTGGCTCTGGCTCTGGCTCAATTTCCGGCGGAGAGAGCAACGCGTCGGACTCTTCAGGCGAGAGCTCGGGCTCTCCCGATGGCGGCGGTAGCTCGATAGGCCCCGGAGCAGACATCGAAGGAATTGCCGGACACAATAATGATGGTGAGGGTCGACAACAAAGGTGCGCGCTCGGGTCGCTGCATCGCGCAGTGCCCGATCACTGGGGGCGCACGTTGATGACGTCGCTCTACCTCGCGTGGGCGACACATGGACGACGCGTCAAAGTCTGGCTCACGCGTTCGTGCGGGGAGGCCGTGCACAGAAGAGATTGCCTTGCCCCTCACCCAAGGGTGCATGGTGATGAAAAAGGGAAGTGCGTTACATTTCAATAATCTGGCCAGTCCGAGACATAGATACATTATATAGACAGTCAAAGCCAATCACACTGATAATGGTTGTACAGTACATTGCTTATGCTATCGTACCTGTATGCGCTTCCCTTTCCACAGCACTAATTCCACACGGCTCGCAATCCTATGGATTACATCGTCCGAGCCCTCTTCATCTGCTACAATGACAGAGCGGTCGATCAATAGCGCTTTGAGCGGCGCATATGCGATTCGATTGACCATCGTATTAGGGTGACCGTAGCGCGCTCTAAGCTGTTGAGCGAGGAGGTTGAGCGATAGGACATGATCGTGAGACCTTTGAGAGAGTACGAGCCTCTCGAGCTTCGGTACGCGAGGGCCGTCGAGCCCCGGTTGGTGCAAAGAGTGCATGACGGCGCCACAGCTGCAGGGATCCACGAGATGCAGGGTTTTCACGAAGGGGAAGCGCTGCAAAATGCCGACTGCGTCATCACGGCAGGTTCTGCACGAGCTGAAATAAGACAGCGCCTTCACGCTCTCCGCCGAGATGCTCGCTGAGAGGGCCTCAAGCAGTGGGCGTACATGTTCGTGAAAGCGATCGATGTGCAAGGTAAGGTGGAGATCACCGCCTCCGAAAGTGAAACTTTCGGCACATACTGGAGGTCCCGTATACAGTTCAAGCTCATCAGTCAGAGCGTAGAAGCGCAAGATAAGGCTCGCGTCTGCGGATGTCTCTGAAGGACTGTGCTCCTCTATTGAAAGCCCCAACGGAGTAGTCGGTTCCAGTCGCATCATAGCCTTGATGGGAGCCACCAATCTTGACGCAATATAGAGAGGGATGATCGAGCCGGTGCGCACATACACCGATGTGAACGCAGGATACATCATATGGGCCATAAGGTAGACCCATCTGGAAGTGGGCGAAGTTTCAAGGATCCCTCGATAGTTCAGTGATCGAAGGTTGGAGAATTTGATGAGCGGCTCGTCAGGAGAATCTTGGCCAAAGATAATCCCGACGTCGAGATGCAGGTGTAATAAAGTATGTTTGTGCGCTTCGAGAAGGGCGAACAAGGTATGGGGAAGTATTTGCCACCTGTCGCCGTTCGAGTTGTACAGCGGTTCGGTCCCTCGAATGGATAGATCACTTAAGACATTCGAGGTGAAGAGACAGATCACATTGGTCAAGTCTGCGACACGTAGAACAGGCGTGTCGATGGTTGGAATTGAATCAGTGAGGAGCTCATGGGCGGATATGACCAATGAATCGAGAGTGGTGAACGTGTAGTGGGAAAGGCGAGGAAAATATATAGCCTCGACGTGACCTATACGGCTTTCAACCAGATGTAACTGGCAGATGCGCTGACACAGCGCGCCTTCATCCTGTGCGATAGTGTCCCAGAGCTCCTGCTCAGGATCGTCGCGACGGAAGGTCGCGCCATAGAGACGTAGCGTGATCGGGCGCGCGTCGCCGGCCCGATCCAACATGGTACGCAGTGCTCCGGGAAGTGCTCCGACGTCTCTGGCCCATAGTTGCGACAAAGACAGCGAAATGTTTCGCCACAGTCGACAAACATGGCCCAACGAAATCCACCCGAGGTTGCCGCCCCTTCCGCTCATCCAAGAAGGCTCCTCCGCATCGCCGAGGGCATCCTCGTGTTCATCGTCGCCATCATCTGGAGCAGTCCCATGCTCACGGTCATATGAATGACGTGCGGCGAGTCTTGCGAGATTGAATGGAGGTATCGGACGCTCAGTCTCCGCGACGAGTGTGAAGATGTGATGTAATATCTCCGGTGGCATGGCATTCAGTGAGCCCGGCTGGGCGTTATAATCGCCTTTTAAGGTTGATGCAGCGTCTTCGAGCAGTCTAGCATCAGAGAGAAGGCCATCGAGCAGGCTTGTGGATAGTGTTGAGCCACGATGAAAGCCGGAGGTTTGAGCGCGCAAGGAGGCTCGACGTCGATCGAGCAGAGCCCGTAGGTCTTCCGCGAAGCGGTTTGATGATTGCACGATGCTGAAAGTCTTTGGTAGGATATTCAAAAGGAGTGGCTATGATGCTTACTCGTCCATGTAACGAACCGATTGAGCAAGGGACGTCGTGGGGGGAGACAAGTTAGCGGCCGACGTGACTCTACCTACCACGGTGGCATTGAAGCTTCCCACGCCCACCACCTTGAGTCAGTACACACCCCGCGCGGAGTGGGCTCGGGCCGCATATTTGAAACGTCAGTATAGTACATGCGTCCTCACTTCTGGTCAAAAACCACTGCCTGATGTCGCACTGGCCGCAACTAAGCTTTCTAGAAGTCCAGAAGGGCGGTAGTATGCTGTAAATACGGAAGTAGTACAATGAGACGAGGCTAACATGGTCGATGCACAAATACTACAAGAGACGCAGCACGCATTCCATACAACAAGATGTCTTTTTCGCAGAACATCGTAGTAAACACAGTCGTGGTATGTCTCACGGCTTTATGTCAGTAGGTACTACACGGGTCAGTGAATCGGCAAGAAGTCCGTGCACCAGTCCAGGACATCCACCGAATCCCGTATCATGACCATAGACTGGGCTGCAAAGTACTCCATGTTCTTGACAAGGACTGACTTGCAGACCCTCAACTCCTTCAACCTCGCAGGGGCGCCAAGTTCGGCTCGGCTACCGTGGGGCCGCCGGTCGTAGCGCGAGCATAATTGCGTGCCCAACGTCCTACGCAAGAGCGTGTTGACTCCCTTCGCATCCGCGTCGCCGCTTCGGGTAAGCCAGAGTCTCTCGAGCCCGGGCATCATTGAAGCGTTGCCGAGCCACCCCAAGGCCGGTATGACGCCTCCAATGTGCGGATCTCCTACGTGGACAGTCCGTACGCCGGCGAAATGCTCCTGGATCACTGAGCTTGTTTGTTCCCGACATCCTGGGCATATCCCCGAGCTGGTGAGAGAGAGTGTTCTCACGTTGTCCGTCGCTATGGCCTGCGACAGTACCTCAAGCAGCTTGCGCAGGGGTACATGCTCGTCGTACTCAAGCCGCAGGGTTAATCGATGTGTTCCATGGCCGAAGAGACCTCCGTTCGCCAGATGCGTACAGGATGAGATGTCAAATGAGGGCTCCACATAAAACCTGATTAGAAGGGAGATATCATCGACATCTTCCTCAACTCTACGCTCTTCTGCGATCGCCAGTCCGTAAGGCGCCGGAACACCTGCCTGGCGCAGCATACCGACTAGGTATATTAGTTCGGATGTATCTCCTTCCCACGAGCCCTGTTCGAGGTGTAGATATGTGAGTGCTGAAGATGGATACGAGATGCCTGACAGTATGGGAGCGGGAAGATCGCCACCTAGGGAATGATCGTGCAGATACAGCCGCTGTAGATGGGGAAACGCCAATTGCGGCTCGAGAGAAGGTGCTGTGGCAACGAAATCGGATTCCACGTCGATGTACAAGTGCACTAAGGTCTGACTATGAGCTTCTAGTATCGAGCGCAGATGATTGTGCTCAATACTCCAAGCGTCATACTCCCCCTCATCTGTTGCACATGTCGCCCGGATGCTGAGTTCAGTCAAGGAGGTGGAGGTCGGGGTGAGCGCCATGTTGGTGAAATCGGCCACACGCAGACGTGGAGTGGTCAGAATGAGGTGCTGTGGACCCGTTTGGTATTCCGGGTACTCATGAGCCCAAATAATCAGCCTCTCGAGAGTATCGAAATTGCAATGACGCAGTCTCGCAGAGAGCCGCCTTCGCAAGTAGGCTTCGCGCGTTTCTACCCAGTAGAGGGCCTTCACGCGCCGAGCGAGTGCGCCGTCGCTGGCGAGGAGCGCCTCCCACACAGGTGTGTTATCCCGACGATAAGTCGCGCCGTACACGCGCACTGTGAGAGGTAGCACGCCTCCCGCGCGCTCCAGAAAGGTAGGCAATGCATCGGGTAGGGCTCCAATATCCTCAGCCCAAAGTGCCGAGTATCCAAGCATCACATTTCGCCACTTTGAACACACATGGGACAGTTCAATATATCCCAGGGTGCCTTTCCGTCCTTTGACCCACAGGGGCTCTTCAAACTCGCCCAGGGCATCTTCGTCTAAATCCTCCTCGGCATCGACATCACGAGGCACAGCAATCCCAAAAGCGAGTCGAGATTCGAACAGCGCGCGCGCACTCAAGTTGTAAGGTGACATTGGGCGCTCTGTCTCGGCGCATATTCGGAAGATCAAGGATAGTATTTCAGGCGGTAGAGCAGCTACCGGGGGTTGCGGCGTATTGTATCGCTTCCAGTTGGTAGGGGAGGCCGGAGGATCGAAGCTCGTCCCGTGCGTATGAGCAAATCGTGAGGAACGTTGCGGTAGACCCGCATTTTCAGAGCGCAAAGCGTATAAACGCGCAGGAAGTAGAGACTGCATGGTATTTCCTGATCCCGCTGTTAATTCTCCTTTAGTCATATTCAGCCATATGGATTGAGATAGATTTCGCGTGAGCACGAACTTCTGGATGAACGAGTTTCAGAATGGTGGTCGTCACGCAAAGACCGACGGCGGGCGCGTCATGATGCGCGCACGAGCGCCCGCTATCAAGCTTTCCCAGGTTCGCGTTGGTATGTGCCTCAACGGTGTGTCCAGAATCCCGATTCTTTCCCTACCCGCCACGTCCGACGATACTCATCAGTTAGGGCAGCTGTCTCTCCGGTCGCTGTTGCTGTCTGCGTCAATAGACGATGCTTTCACTCGGCCAGTTGGTCGTGTGCGCCGTTGCGGCGCGTCTGGCCGACGCATCAATCTCATCCTCGAACCCGGGCTTGAACGCGCAAGCTGTCAATCTCTGGAAGCTCGGAAAGTTCGGCCGCGATGACTCCTCAACGGCCTCAACACCAAGACTGGTGGTGCAGGATTCGTCAGCGCCGTTTCCGTCAGCTGTCAAGCATGCTGAATTCCCTGCCTACACGTTCGAGCAGCCGCTCGACCACTTCTATAACACCACGGACGAGACGTTCGGACAGCGTTACTGGGTTAGCACGCGTCACTACAAGGCGGGAACTGGCGCACCTGTCATTGTCATTGATGGCGGTGAGACGAGCGGAGAGGACCGCATCCCTTTCCTCGACACCGGCATCGCGGATATCCTAGCCAAGGCGACAGGCGGCGTGGGTGTGGTTCTGGAGCACAGATACTACGGTGAGTGCGAGCCCAGGTCTTATGAGAGTGACGTCGTCTGATACGAATCCTAGGCGAGTCCATCAGTGTCAAAAACCTAACCACTGATTCGCTACGGTATGCGTTTCACGCTGTCCGGCGTAGACTACTCTTGACATCACACAAGGTGGTTGAACAACGAGCAAGCGCTGGAAGACTCGGCCAACTTCATGCGCAATGTGAAGTTTGAGGGCGTTGACGAGGATCTTACGGCTCCAAATACACCTTGGATATACTACGGAGGTTCGTACGCGGGCGCGCGTGCGGCACACATGAAGGTGGTTTACCCTGACATTACATGGGGTGCAATCGCCGCGAGCGGTGAGGTCCATCCTGTAGTTCCACTGGGGTCTCGTGTTCTCATGCGATTGTTCTGAACAGCTGTGACACACGGTGGGTTATGGCGTACTCTACTGCTACGTATGGTTGCTAACCTCCTTTCGAAAAGCTGCTCTCACCAACTGGGAGTACATGGACACCATTCGTGTTGCGGCGGACCCCATCTGTAGCTCGAACTTGGTACATTCTGTAGCGACAATTGATGCGCTCTTGAACATACCAGTCGTCAAGACCCACCTGAAGGGACTGTTCAATCTCTCGGATCTGGCTAGCGATCAGGATTTCGTATCCTTGCTCACCGTGCGTTCCATGCGCTCTTGTGCATTATCCGAGACTGACGCAGCAGCAGTCGCCGCTTGGTGCTTGGCAAGGTAAGAACTGGGACCCTGCCGTTGGATCGACAGCTTTTGACGACTTCTGTGCGGCACTGAGCGGCGGGGGATCCTCGCTCGCAGAGACCTTACGCGAGGTGGCCATTCCTGGTCTCGAACATATGGACCATAAAGTCAACATCGCCGTGCTGAACTATGCCAAGTATATCCGCGAAGTAAGCCTGATCCTCCTCATTCCGCATCATCTTCCCAGCTGACGAGCGCAGAATGTCGTTGCGACATGTCCCGAACCCTTGACGCATGAACAATGCTTTGGCACCAGCGATGACTCCCTCTACCAGGAGACTAGCTTGGATCAGACATGGCGCCTTTGGACCTACCAATACTGCACGGAGTGGGGCTATATCACGGTAAGCACCAGGTTCACTCCTTGTCGTAATCTGCCTCACGGCCAGCGTAGACTGCCCCACCGGACCCTCACAAATACCCACCGATCATCTCACGCTTACTCGACTTCGAGTATCAGCACAAGATCTGCAGGCAGGCGTTCCCACCGGGTGAGCATGCCATCGTGCCTGCGCTCCCGGATATCGAGGTCGTCAACGTTCTCGGCGACTTCGACCTCGCTGCTGACCGCCTTGCATTCATTGACGGTTCCGGTACGCATCTGGCATTCATCCTCATCTCGATCATCTGTCTGACACCTTGCAGTCGACCCGTGGCGCCCAGATACGCCGCACAGCACGTACTACGCGAAGGACCGCGCAGACACGCTTCTACGCCCGTTCAAGTTGATCCCTGGCGGAGTGCATCACTGGGACGAGAATGGTCTTGCAGACCCATCACAGGAGCCCTCGGAGATCCAGAGGATTCATGCGGAGGAGGTCGCTTTCGTCAAGTCTTGGCTCGAGGACTTCGGCTCTCTACGCTTGGCTTGAGATGATCTCTTCATACAGCGCAATTGCTGCTGTTGCTTATACTATCCCCTCTGGTTGATGCACCCCCTCGAGGAAACACGGGTCTACCCGATCAAGAGCAATACTTACTTGAATCTATCTAACAAACAAACATCGATCTGTACGGGTACTAAAACCATTTCGCCCGGGCAGAGCTTGACGAGAGCGCGCAGGAAAGCATCGCGCAGTGATGATTCACACATTGAGGTACGGACAAGATCAGGATAGATGAGCCAAAATACATAAACATAAATGTAATCGATGCCAACGTTCAATCATGCACGCAGGCTCTCAAACGGCCGTCCATATTTCGCCGTCCAAGCCTTGAAATCTTGTTTGGCTCGAGCCCATTCCGCCGTCAGCTTTGGCGCTCGCTCCGACCATTGTGCCCGGTCAAGAAGGACAGGTCGGAATCGGCGGACAGGAGGAAGGAGTTCGTCCTCAGCCTCAGGTTCGTCTTCCGGCTCAACAGCTTCTTCATCGCCATCTGGCTCGGGTCCGTCGAAGTCCAAAGAGCTTGGGGAAGAGCGTTGTAGGAGCTCTGGCGGCGGTTTCTTGGCATATGGCGTACGATGGGCTTGTCCATCTCCCCCGTCCTTGCGCGGTGTCCGAAATAGGGACATGCCGGGACTCGATTCGCGATAGGGTATAGCCTGAGGTTCGTGCTCCTCAGAGTCCGATGAAGCAGGAATATCCTGTAGTTCCCTTTCAACCTCAGATCCCGACCCAAGGTCCGACCTGCCAGCATCCGAACGCGCGTCGTCGCTATGGGAATCAGAGGCTTGACGTGTGTATCTAGGTTGTAGAACGGCAGGCGCGGGCGTTTTCGGGACATCCTTGTATAACTCGTCGGCAGTCGGCGTGAAGGGGGTCTTGTAGGGAGAAGATGTGCGCAACCGTTTAGGTTTGGAGGGCGTGTCTTCAGGAGCATCCTCGTGAAACGAGACGGCGCGTTTAAGCGGGCGTGTTGTGCCTGGTGCGCGCATTGAGGACTTGTTAGGTGAGACAGGTCGCGCAACTTCCGGAGCGGTATTGTTTGCAACGGTAGATGTCGACTTGGACGGTGAGAGACGCGCAGATGAACGTGAAGGTGCTGTTTTGACTTTCTGGGAGAGCTCTTCAATGGAATGTTGGATTTCGCGAGTAACATCCTTGCAGCAACGCTTTGCCATCGCGAGGAGATCCATGTGCCGATGATGTAAGACTTTGTATTCGGCGCAGAGTGGCTCTGACTTCGCCGGTTTCTGTAACGCACGTTCAGTGCGGTTCGGGAACAAGAGACGAAAGACTGACCTTCAAGATCCCTGCGACATATTGGTACGCTGCGATTCTGAGGTCCTGATCCGACGCTTGGATCATCTCGGCCTCCAGATGTTCCTTCATGCTGGAATACGTCCATTGCATCCAAGTGGCGACCAACTTAGGCCGCCCAAGCCGATGTTTCTCGATGATGGGCAGAAACGAATCACGAAGCGTACGCTGCTCGCGGGAGCGGCCATCTCTCCATGAGCGTGTGTTGCTATTGTTGCGAGATAGACTGGGCGCGCGCTTGGCCTCGAGAGCGTTCTTGACAGTCTCCAGTGTACGCTTGAAGATCTTAGGCTCCAGACACGAAGCTTTCTGGGCTGTCGTCAAGTCAAGATCATCATAACCAGTCCTAAAAACAAGTCAGACAATGATATGGCATGGCCTGAGTCCACCACACACTTTACGGTCGCGAGATACGCGCAGATGGCTGCTAAACCAGTCTTGCCGTCCGATATATCATAACCCGTTCCAGGTCCGGTGGCCGAACGCGCTTGCACCAGTATACGTTTGGCCTCGTCTCTGGCTTCGCGATTGTGCACGAGGAGGCGCCTGAGCAAGTCATCATCTGGATTGGGCATGGTGGGTGAGGACAAAGTACGCGAACTGACCCGCGACGCGACGCGCATCAACATTATCGCCGATTCAGAAATGCACGTGAATCCGACGCCGCGCGCTTTCTTGCGCGAAAAATCCGCGTCGAGTAAGATCGAATCGTAGCTCGCCGACTACGCCCCACCCCGCCATAGCGTGGATTTTACTGTGATCAGAAAAATCGATTGTATCGTACACGAACTTGAACGGAAGAAAAATATAAGGCCGTTACCAAGATCTTTTTTGCAACACCTGTCGCCGCACCCGCGCGAGCAACGCTCAATGCCCGCTACCCGTCCTCGTCCAACGACGCCCCAGATAGACTTCAGCGACCCAGGCGGGCGCCCTGTAGAAGATTTGAAGGTACCAGGGCCGTTCAAATATACTTAGCAGCGTCGCACAAAGCTGCGACTTGCCAGTAGGCGCAAGTTGCAAGCAATGCTGCTCTCGTTTCGTGCGAGTTCCTGCTACCATAAGTTCGTGAGCACAAAATTGATGTATTCTGAGCGCAACGGGGATGTCGTTGCCGACGAGCGAGTGGCGAACGTCGAGCATCGCTCGCGTGCGCGCGATGACGGGCACCGCGAAAAGATCTCGGTAACCACTCCATCATTTTCTCTCGTTCAAGCTCGTGTACAATGCATTCTATTTTTCTGATTACAGCAAAAATCGAACTATGGCGGGGTGGGGCGTAGCTGGCGAGCTACGACCCGATCTTTCTCGACGCGGATTTTCGTGCAAAGAAAGCGCGCGGTGTCGGATTCACGTGCATTTCTGAATCGGCGATAGCGTGGTCGGGACACGTGCTGAGAAACTCTTGCTGTATTGAGCTTCGGACCGCGGCAGACGCGATGGCACTTGCTCTCAACCACGACGAGGGTTGCCGAGCGAAGGTCCGCTTGTCTCGTTTGAGTGTCTGGTACCGCCACTCAATCGATCTGGCTATAATATAGCCCTGTATCTCATCACTGGGCCTGCCTACCTGCGTGACGCTTGGATCGTAATATCCAAGAACGCCAAGATCAAGAGAATAGTACCCTGCCTGTGCCCCAGCTTGACATCGTAACAGTACCCTACTACAGTCTGCAGATTAATAATCCCAGCCCACTCCCCTCCTGCTCTGAGCATACGTGCATCCATACAGAACCTTTCTCTGACTTCCGGTTACTCACAACTTTGTTCACGCCTGCCCGAAAGGCACGTCCACCCTGATGATAGGCGTCATCCTCCTGCATCTGATACTTGCTGGTACTCCTATAGGCATTTTTCACGGCAGCTCACGATATTTCACCGACCGTTGTTCATCTTACTCGACTACTTTCTCCGACGCGCACGGTACAATGTGTGTCGGTTTCTGGTCCCTAACACATCCCGAATATGCCCTGTAAGAAGAAGAGACCCCACAACGCTTGATAAGTACTGATTCGACAAATTTCGCAGCGTTCTTTGTGCAAATCGCGACGAGTTCCTGGCACGGCCGACATCGGTCGCACATTGGCATGCCTTCAACACGGAGTCTATAACGCCCTCGCCGCAGGATGCAAACCCAGTTCATCCCGATATGCCGACGGACCTCCCGCAGGACTCAGTGCTATCCGGACGCGATCTCCTTGGAGGTGGGACCTGGCTCGGAGCCAACAAGCACGGGCGAGTAGGCCTCTTGTGAGTACATTGTAACTCGTTTTCCCACGATCAGATTCTCATCGTATCTTCTTACTCTCCATCCGGCGAATAGAACAAACATTACCGAACCATTGAGACAGTGGCCATCGTCCAGGGGTGCCCTTCTCGCTTCTTTCCTGCTTGGCGAGGGGCCGGTCACTGCGGCCGAAAGCTCGCTCGAGCAGCAGGAAAGTGCTTATGCCGGCTTCAATATGGTGCTTTTCGCACCCGTAGATGCGGAAAGCCTACCGCTGAATTACGAAGCTCGTCTTGTGACCAACCATACCGGAGGCGGGAAGATACAGGTTCGCCAGCTTGAGACCGCTGAATGTGCCGCAAGTGGCGTGTCCAACGGCGTCGACGGGCGCGGCGGGAACACATACCCAAAAATATGCGAAGGCGTCTCCGCGTTGGAGAAGGCGCTCGACGATGCTGATTCGGATGAAGACAAGCTTATCTCGTACCTGCTTGAACTATTGACGTGCGTGCCCTTTGCATTGAATCCCTTTTGATCCTTTGTTCTCTATCGGCATCGGGTGCCTGCAGAAGTGCAGACTCACGTGGTATTCATCTTCGATCCCTGTGCCCCTGCACTATCCCGCCCGAGGACATGTTCTCTCTCGTGCTCGGGCAGATCGGCCTTCTTCTCCGTGCATTTCGCTCTCATTGTTTCTTCATTCGCTACCCAGATGTGACGCTGATTTCTTGGCCTCTCCTAGCTCCCAGGTCCAACCTCCGCCCACGAATGCTCAAGAACGTGCCGCGAGCATCAGCATCGCACCTATACCGGGTGCGCCGCAATACGGAACACGGGTATCCACTGTAGTCCTTGTGCGTCGTGATGGACGTGCACGCTTCGTCGAACGAGACCGCTGGACTCTTCAACAAGACGGCACGGCGTTGGACGGCGGGGCAACGCGCGAGTTCCGATATACCGTCCAATGATGCGTGGTGAATACGGATCATGGAAGCGTTTCCCACGTTTATATGAGATCTTGCTCATATGGAAAGAAAGGTTAAGACAGTGGCCGCATTACACTATATGCGCGATACTGATGACTCTGTCGAAGCTGCTCTAGACCATATGGCTCAGCATGAGGCCAGCAAGATCCATCGCGTCAATACCGTGTGTCGCTTATCTTCTCCCTGTTGCTTCTATAAACCACTTGCCCGATTTTTATCGCACGCAATTCAGTTTCCCCACACGATTCATGGCCGGCACTTCCGGTTCTCCTATATCGGCATGTCGTCCAGACCATCTCTTCGGATTGAGGGGGAGGCTGACAACTATGCTATACGCAGTCTATCACTGTATCACCCATAACAACTCCGACCCACCTTCTGGTGTTCTATGACATCTTTCTGACTCAAATGCACACTTGAGGTCTTCTTATGATGTAGAGTGGGATTTGCCGCTCACATATATGATGCATGATACCCAAACGAGCGCCGACATTCCACCCTTCTGACGCGCCAGTGACAGAAATACGGCATTCTATTCGAGGCGTATCAGGCCTCCTGCATCAGGATCCAAGAGGGGAGTCTCGTAATGGAGCACGCTTTCGGCGCTTCTGTCTTGCTTCGCCTGGCCCTCGCTACGCACTCCCATTCCTTTGTCCAAATGCCGAACTCCTGCTGTATCGCTAAGTGACATCTGCCGCATGAAGAGAACCCAGAATCAACCCCTGTTGCTTAGAGGGTTTTCTTCGTCTTGCAAATTTGTAGCCTGACAGCTTCTAGGTACGTTTCGCGTAGGCTTTCTGGATATTCTCGACTGATGGATCCACAGCACAATGACACACATTGGCATCACATCGATATTCTGCAAGACGCTTATTGACGCATGCGTATCTATGTGCCTGAAGGCCGCTAGGCTCAAACTCCCGTGCCTAACCCGTGTCCTTATTGCAGATGACTACGAGGTGCAAAATCTGAAAATCTACTACTCGCGAGAGAGAGGAGCTGATCTGCTCAGCGAACCTTCGATAAGGCCACTTGAACGCGACATTGGAAAGAAGCCCCAGAATGTACCCTCTCGTAGTTTCTAGGGTCCAGAATGGGGTGTTCGACGCCTCGGAGTGATTATGAACAAGATTGTCGTGTGCCCCGAGCACGTCGTGCGTGTTCTATGATGCATCGTATTTCATGTTCTTCATTCTCAGAGGGTTTCTGGTGTATTGCCAACGCATTGCGCATCAGGCTCAGATGATTCTCACCCTCATACTCCAGCACGCGCACTGCATTCAATTGGGACTTGCTCTCTCAGGCGGACGGCCCGTGTAAAGACATCCACGGAGGCACCGTAGCCGGCCCATAAGCCCGGCTATTACGGTGGCATGTCTCAACGAGACCACTGACCGTCCTCTGCCCCGTGTTAAGGTCGTGTTGTAGAGGATGTGCTTCCCGGCGTCAAAGTACGGGAAGCTTAGCGGCATAGTGAGTACCCGGGTCTCCCGCGCCAGTACTCTAACATGATACTGTCTGACACACTTTCATACCTAATCCTACGGAAACCCGGACGAAGGCATCGTCACCATATGTACGCTTCCCAGACGAGGACTGCCGCTCTCTGTCAACCAACTTCGCCGCGGCTTAGGTTGAGAAGGCAAAACTACTCACCACGACGCCCAACCTTGATTAACCTGGCGCTCACCGAACTTGGCTCGTTCTACCTTGGTACCTCGTCCCACCGGCTGCGACGGGTCGCGTTCCTCTTGAGGAGATATCTCATGGCCCGAGCCGTCCATCCTTGACTGGAAGGAACGGGCGCTTGAGCATGAACGCTCGTGTCTGGGACATCTAGGGCCCGTCTGGAACGCGCTAGAGGTGGTCATGCTCAGCAACAGGCGAAGACGCGGCGGAATGCTGTTCCTGCGGCGTCCAACTTGAGGACTAGCGCGAGTGATACATCGCGTACTGCTCTTACCATTTGACTGAGCCCTGAGGCACCTACCGGCGACGATCTACAGGTTGACTTTTTGGCGATACTATGTCTCGACACAGTACTCAAACCAGGCGATCATTCAAGCTCCTACTGCGCAACAGTCGTAGACGACGCCACCGTCGAGAAGACAGTCCGGCGATTTCTGCGAGCTCCCCGGTGACCTAGACCAGTATGATTGGGCATTGAACGTGCAGGCTGTAGCCTGCGCGGGCCACAACATCAAGTGTCTTCCCATACGCCACGAGTCGGTGCTTGACACGGTACCGCATACACGTTGACGTTACCCCGAGGTTATGGCTAGCGACTGCACATGAAGCAACCTTCGCATGGGATCGCAGAGACAAGCTAGGCAACGATGTGTTCATAGTAGCGAGGTTGTAGGATGAAGAGCTACACGAGTGTAGATCTTGTTTCAACATGTGCGAGTCGGGTGTGTCTACTTCCGTTCATCCATTGACAGCATCGTCCTTCGGCGCCCTGTTAGGTACCAGCACAGACTAGCGCCGGCATCCTAGGCATAAGGTACGCTGTCAACACTACGTTCATCGCGCGCCGGTGAAGTCAATATAGTTCCGCTAGCGACGGCGGCAGCCGCACAACAACTGAATCGGGCGATTCGGAGATGTTCGTTCTATTCGGGGCCGTGCGCTCTGCCCTCGGGACGATGTCCGCCCATGGAACTCGAAGGCGGCCGCGATTCCTTCGTTTTGCAGCCAGTACATCGTGCCCCGCGCCCGTCGGCCTCGCACTGCAAAGCTGGCGCGCGATGGGACTGGCGCAAAAGATTGGACGTTCGCCCTCAGGCTTCCAATCACTATACTCGGATGGCAGCAACATGCATGCCTGTCTGACAACCGTGTCCAGTAGCGCCTTTGCCCATCTAGTGCGGCGCCACAGACGTTATACTCTGTAGCACTCATGGGCGGGGTTAACGGGTTTGTGGGCGCATATGTATGCTCGCCTTCGAGATGTGGCCCGTGCCGCAGTGTGGCCCGGCGCCCCTGCAGGGATAAAGCCGCTCTATGCTCTTCCCCCGCATCACATCGCCCAGCCAAACTGACTGGATCTCGATCACAATTATCACAACTCCTCGGACTAGCAAGTGCGCACGCTCTCCAACGATGCCGCCTTCGCCTTCGCTGCCTCGGTCAAGTCGGTCGCTCCAAGCTTCTCTTCTCCCGCCCGTACCTCCGTACCTTGAGCTCGCAAGCACACCAACTCGCCCGGCCGAACCGAGGCAGATCCGCGCGCCTTCCGCTTTGGACTTCCCGTTCTCCTGGGCGGCCGCCGTTGAGCATTGCGTTTGGAACATGCACGAAGACAGGCAGCGTCCAAATCGGCGTCGCAGACGCAAGATCTCTCTCCCCTTGACCGCTTGTGATGCTGTTCCTCATCGCGCTTCCGAGCGACAGCGAGCGATTGCCTTTTCTGACACCGGAGATATCAGCACCGGGTGCGTGAAGCGCTGAGTTAATTGAGCCAGGGGTACTGCGTTTGTATGGATGAGAGCACCGATGCGATTTTGAGCTTCGGGATACGACAAAGATGGAGGGTGTTGTACTGTTAGATGATCTCACTCTCGACAGTACTTCTTTCATTATGGCGGAGATGCAATTATCATCATTCTGCGAGGTCGTTCATGCGCGTAAACCCTTCAAAAGATGGCTAAATGCGCACAGCCGTAGGGATTGGCAGTCCGTGTATGCGCTCGTTCAGACGAATATGTACTGGCGCATAGTCAAAACTCCAAGCTATGATGCATCAGCCAGCGTGCGCCCATCGGGCGCAGCACTTGTGCCTTGATATGTAGCCGCAGAAGCAGAAGAGTGTACCAAAGAAGTGCTGAGAGAGTACGCGGCCAACCCTCAGATCTAGCATGGTGGGAGGGTGAGCCCACAGACGAGATCTCGCCGCTCTTCGCTCTTCCACTGTTCGCGTTCCTGACCGTGTACGACGTACGTCGTGTGAGAGAGCGCGATGACGGCGGCCGTCAACGATGCACGGGAGGCGCTGAGAGCTCGAGCGAGCGTGGCTCGCGGAGGATGGAATCAGGTAAGAGTCAGAGTTTACGCTGGCGCGCAAGAGCGGGTGCAGTCGGTATGTTCGTTGCGCGCGAGATGATTACGGTCTCGATAACCCGTATAACGCAATAGTAAGACATCAGGGAGAGTTTAGAGAGCGAGACCGTGTCGTCCGCCCACATCTCGTGCTTTGTTTCGCGTTTGCGAAGATTCCCTTACGCCTGCGCTGCCTAACGCACCGTGCCTTGGGCGACTCTGTCGTGTCCCTGTCAATCACGCGCGAAACGTAGATGGTTCCTTGACTATCTTTCGGCGCCTATTTGCGGAGGTTGAAGAGAATACGCGTCGGTCGGCCACGAAGAAGGCGAAGGCGCGAAGGGCCCGTCGGTTCTAAGGATAGAAGGTACGGATGAGCTAGCTGCAGAAGCTAGCACTTTTCGTCGCCGCTCCACTTCGAAGGCTGCACCAAGGAAACGAACGCGTTCAACTGAACAGCCCCAGCCTCGGAGCCTCATTGCGTTCGGATGGGTCCAGACCCCGCGCTCCAGGCCTCTAGCGATGCGACAAAGCCTCGGAAACTTGGGAAGAGCGTGTGGCCAGAAGAGGGAGAATTAGATGATGACCAGCCTCACGCAGATGTGCTTGCTTAGCGCCGTTGAATGGCGTCCGATGGGACATCGAGATCGGGATGGTATTTACATTCCGACGAGCGCGGAGAAGATCTATCATGCATACAGATCACGGTTAAGAAAGGACAATGCACAGGTTCTGTCAAGTCAAGAAGCTCGAGCGAGCAAAGACGTGTACGCGAACAGTCCTTGTCGAGTAGGCCTCGGCCTCCGTTTCATTATGCCAGGGCATGTCACCCGCCGTATAGCGTACGCAAATCACGGATGGAAGGTGCGGGCAGATGGACGGGTGCGAGAGGCCTAGAGAGCGCGAAGGAGGATGCATGGGAGTCGCCGGAGAGCGCACGCGGGCTGTGTTGAATTCGCCCGTTGGCTTCGCAGGCGCAAGCGGCTCATATCCGGGTCCATGCAGGCAATCCAATAGCATTAGCACGGAACGCTCGCTCGATCCGTGACAGGACACTGCCTGCGTATGTACTTTGGAAGTTTGTCGAGTCAAGGGAGGAGGAATGACGAGAGAGGGGAAGGAGCGCTAGCACGAATAAATGCGGGGAATATCAGTGTACACACAGGTACACAGAAGAGCGGGAAGAAGTCTGCGAGCAGGTGGCTTTGTTCCTTTCTTGGCGCTCGCGTGGCAGAAGGTACAGGGGTGAGAAAATAGACCATGTATACTCGGCGATTGCACCTTTCGAGCAGGACAGGCTCACAAGAGGAAAGCTCGAACGCAGGGGGAGGCGTACGGGGTGATGGCGAAGACGATCTGGCGTAGGGCAGGGAAGTCGAGGGCCGGAAGGGAGAGCGAAAGAGGCGCGGGAACAATCGAAGCAGGCACGGGTATAGACCCGGGATCTCGGCCTGTGCGGATATTGAACGGGAAAATCGTATAAGTACAGGATGGCATCCGCCTGCCCAGACAACACTTTGACCTTCTCCCTCGGCAATGGAACACTCCAACTCCTCCGCTAGCCCGGTCAGCCCGGGCGCAAATACCAGCGGCGTGTACGAGGGTGTCCAGCTCAAGGGCGACATGCTCGACTTTGCCGATTTCGCTCTCGACACCGACCACCGCAAACGCAGGCGTAATCGGACCACTCAATCGTGCTTGAATTGCCACACGTCGAAGCGCAAGGTCAGTCCGCGTTAACACCTATTTTCTTGATCAACCCTTCATTTTGCTTATGTCCGTCGTATCATCCAACAGTGTGACCGCAAGCGCCCATGCTCCCGCTGCATCCAACTTGGCCTCACCGGTCTCTGTGTATACGAAGTCGACGATCCTGCGGCGCGTGACGACCCGAACGTCGACGAAACTACGCGTCTGCGCTCGCGTATTGCCGAACTCGAGTCTCTCGTACGCGAACTCCGTGGAAAGCCGCATCCTCGCTGGGCAGACGCCGCGTTTGCGGGCGGCGACGACGCTCAAGATAAATGGCACAGCCGTGCGAGCAAGCGCCCAGCTCAGAGTCTGCAGCTTCGGCGGCACCGGCCCGACCTCGCACTCGGCAGCATGCCTGACTTCGCGGGCGCGGCGCCGCACCAGCATAGCCCGAGCGTCAAGAGCGAGCCCGGCCCGGATGTCCCGCAGGCATTCCCTTACCGCTTCTCGCCTTCGCCCGACAGCTTCTCGACGAACTCGCAGTTCAACTATTCGCCTTATTCCCAGTACCCGCCTCAAGGCCAGAACGCCGTCCACCGCCATGACCGCTTCTGCCCTTGCCTCACAAATCCCGGCGCTGCTCAGTCGCTCATCGTGCTCCAGCATCAACTCCGTCAGGCGCTTCAGCAGTTGATCCAGTTCCCTGAGCATGCTCAAGGCGGCGCCCAGGCCTGTGCTATCACTCGCCGCGTCAAGGAACTTAATGACCTGCTACAGTGAGTATTTGTGATTCTCTTTCCGCATCGGACCCGTATCGACGAGCAACAGCTCATACGTAGCGAATAGGGGTGGTGACCCGTCTGCATACTCCCAGCAGCCGCAACAGCCGCAACCGCATATGCAGCATCCTCAACAGCAGGTTCAGCAGCAGCAGCAGCCCATCCAACAGCACTACCATACCGTGCCCTCGCAGCAGCACCATGCGCCGCCGCCGAATCAATATCGCCCGCTCCGTCCCATTCACTCGTACGACGGCGCCCTTACTACTCCGCCCGAGTCCGACGTCCTCACCCCGCTCAGCAGCGCCGAAAGTGCTCCAATCAGCGATGCGACGATGCACTCGTGGGATGCCGGATACAACCCCTACTTCCCACCAATTCCGGCGCACGAGAACAAGGAGTACGGTCACATCCAGGGCACGATCGGACATGGCGCCCATGTCGGTGCAGGTGGCCACGGCGCGCACATGTAAACCCGCCGCGCGCCCCAATTGGTGGCGGG